AGATACAAGTTTCCATTCAGTCTTTACTGGCCATTGGTTATAACACCTTTGCGAGTTTGGTCTGAGCCTGTTTCCCCATCTGTAAAACAGATGTAACTTGTAAGGTTAAGTTAACCTAATGTGTATGGAAATACTTGGAACTTCAAAATGCTGTGAAATACGTGATGTTTAGGGATATGTGTGCATGTATGCATGCGTGCTTAGTCTTGTCCAACTCTTTGCGCCCCTATGGACTGTAGCCCACAAGACTCCTCTGTCCATGGGATTTCCCAGGCAAGTATACTGGAGTGGATTGCCATATCCTACTCCAGAGGATCTTTCTGACCCAGGGACTGAACCTTTGTCTCTTGGGTCTCCTGCATTGGCAGGCAGATTCTTTACCCCCTTTAGGAATATGAACACTCTTATTTATAAACTTTCTCAAACTTGCTGCCCAACAGATGCATGTATTTTAGCCTTTTAAAGCTCCTGGGCTTATGCTGGAGAGTGTAAAATAACCTACAAGAGAATTCAGCCTTGGTTTATTTCAGAGCTTTCATTCATTTCAAAATGCCTACTCACAGAAGTCAGTCATTTCAGTTTCTTTCATATAGTCTTTTAGACTATAACTAAAGGATGGATTTTTTAATTGATAACATAGTCAAGAGATTTTGGTTTATGAAAACCATGTTACTCAAATATTTTCAAGGTCATAAATTCTACCAAGAAGAATGGTATGCTTTAAAGATACAGAGAATAATAATTTTAAAAACATAAAACATTTTCATTTAGGGGATAAGTTCTAAGGTCATAATACATGGTGATGGTGATGGTGGTGATGGTAGAGATGATAATGCTGATGTAATTATGATGATGGTGTTGATGATGAAGAGGGGCAGGAGAGGAGAGAGATTCCCCAGAACAGAACTAGTCAAACTGTGCTCCTCAGAGCCCCCAGAAGGTTTTAAAGGAGTCTGAGTAGGGAAAGGATGGTGAGGAGTGGGGAAAGCCTAGTTTTTCCAAAGTGGATTTAGGTTAATTCATTCATGTGTTGGAGGTGTAGGTTCTGCTGTTTGTTTTCTGTTGTTTGGCCTTTACCACTGCACTTAAGAAGGCAGTGGTGAGTTGTATTTTCAAATCAACTGAAGTCCATACTTGAAAACCATAAATATTGCATTAAAATTGTAACTTTCTGCTTTCCAGTTTTCAAGTCCTTTCCAGCTTTTAAATGCATTTTTGTGTTCAGACTTTTTTGGTGGGGGGGGGACTACATGGAATGTGGGCTCTTAGTTCCCTGACCAGGGATGGAAGTCACGTCCTGTGCATTGGGAGTGTGGAATCTTAACCATCAGATGCCTGGGACGTCCCCAGACTTTTTTATATATATATATATTAAAGTACACATGACACAGTTGATTCCCATTTCAAAACTTTTTTAGAAGGAAAAAAAATGAGAAAACAAGATAAAGTGGAAAAAGGGGGAAAAAAACTGAAGCAAAGAGTGGCACCTTTTTGTGTATCACACCTGTCTTGGTACAGAATGTTCTTGAGCATCTGTGCAGTGTTTGTAAGCTCATCGGCAGGACTGTGGAACACGCATGTTCAGCACAATATGAGCTGTCATCAGGGAACTGTCATCTGAGGACACTGTGACTAGAGTTTCATAGGAACGGCCTCTGTCCCAGGGCCCTAAACTATCAGAAGAGAGGTCTTTTTAAAGAAGCTGCTGGGACACTAGGAATGCCAGAACTGGACACCCTAGGGAGCAGGATCAGGAATCAACTTGTAGAAATGTGGCACAGAGTAATTCTTACCATTTATCCTTAACTTTTTGGTTTTGTGTTCATTTTATTGTCATATTTAATGACATATTAAATATTGTCATATTTAATGTTCATTTTGATCCTGTCAGCACCCTCAAAAGTGCTATTTTCTTGGGGAAAAAAAATCCTTATATCATTTTGGTATTCTCAAAGTTTAATTACAATGAAAGACATTGCAATGTTTGTCTCTCTTTTTTTTTCTCCTTATCCACTGTTTTCATTACAACTAAAAATATTTTACGTAGAAAAAATGTGTTTTAGTGGCTTACATAGTAATAACACTTAGATAAATGTATATAGTAAATTCACTTGTCAGCCTCATTTTAAGCCCCTCCAAATAGCTCTGTATGTAAGAGTGGCCCTGTTTGCAAGCTTAGGACAGAAGTCCTCACCTGAAAGTGAACTCGAGCTGTGCTACGCGTTGGTGAGAGTTGAGCCGCTCCTTTAGGCTCCTTTAGTAGCAGTGACAGCTTGTCCTTTCTTTACCCCTCTGTGCCAAAGCACAGGTGTGCATGCCCATCAGTAAAACACCCTTAAGGCCGGTGTGGGAGATCTTATTTATTTATTTATTTATTTTGGCCATGCTGAGCAGCTTTTGTGATCTTAGTTCCTCAACCAGGGATTGAACCCAGAGTGGTGGCAACAAGTGTCAAGTCCTAACCACTGGACCGCCAGGGAATTTCCTGGAGGATATTTCATCTCATGCTTTCACCTCCTTCCCTCTTTTATGTCCTCCTCTAGCTTCTCTCTCTCTCTCAACTCCCTTCTGTCTGGATGTACCAAGTTGCAGAATGTTTAGCTCCCCTCTGAGTTAGGAACACTGCTCTCTTGGCATGCACCACTTGCAGACACATTCTTGCTTTTGAGAAAAGGGTCCTGTTGAGTGGATGACAACCCGTAGATTCCCCAGTGCTTGTTGAACGTAGTCCCCACTTGATCAGGCAACTGAAGTGGACGATGGAGAGGAGTGAAGAGGCGGGAAGAGTGGCACTGATGGCCTTTCAAGGGGCTGGATGAAGCACCTGCAAGGACGCACAAGTCCACACAGAGTGCGCTGATGAACCGCACATTCACGTCTGAGCTTCCCGAAGCTTGCTTCTCCCAGGACTGTGGACAGATCCGCTTGGAGGTCTAGCAAGCACCGCAGACTCACCATATCTGGATCTTAGTCCATCTTCTCCCTTCCTCCTCCCCATCCCAGAACTGCTCTTACTCATGTTAGTGTTTCCTGTTACAGTTTAATTTAGTTCCCTGTTCTATACAGTGGGTCCTTGTTGTTTATCTATTTTATATGTAGTTGTGTATATCTGTTAATTCCAAATTCCTAATTTACCCCTCCCCCCTTCCCTTTTGGTAACCTGAAGTTTTTTTCCTATGTCTGTGAGTCTATTTCTGTTCTGTAAATAAGTTTATTTGTATCAGTTTTTTAGATTCCACATATAAGTGATAAATGATATCTTCTTTATCCATTCCTCTGTCCATGGGCATTTAGGTTGCTTCCAAGACTTGGTTACTATAAATAGTGCTGCTCTGAACATTAGGGTGCATGTATATTTTTGAATTATAGTTTTCTCCAGATATATATCCAGAAGTGGATTGCTAGATCATATGGTAACTCTTATTTTTAGTTTTTTAGGGAACATCCGTACTGTTCTCCATGGGGCTTCACAGGTAGCTCAGCTGGTAAAGAATCTGCCTGCAATGCAGGAGACCCCAGTTCAATCCCAGGGTTGGGAAGATCCCCTGGAGAAGGGATAGGCTACCCACTCCAGTATTCTTGGGCTTCCTTTGGGCTCATCTTGGGTTCAGATGATAAAGAATCCACCTGCAATGCCAGATACCTGGGTTCAATCCCTGGGGTTGGAAAGATCCCCTGACAGGGGGCATGGCAACCCACTCAAGTATTCTTGCCTGGAGAATCCCCATGGACAGAGGAGCCTGGTGAGTTATAGTCCATGGGGTCACAAAGAGTCGGACACAGCTGAGCAACTCAGCACAACACAGAGAGAACTAGTTTGGGGGCTTCCCTGGTGGCTCAGTGGTAAAGAACTCGCCTGCCAATGTAGGTGACATGGGTCCAGTCCGTGGGTTGAGATTGAACGACCCCCTGGAGAAGGGAGTGGCAACCCACTCCAGTATTTTTCTTGGAGATTTCCATAGACAGAGGAGCCTGGCGAGCTACAGTCCATGGGGTCGCAAGTAGAGTCAGACACGACTTAGCAAGTAAACAAGCTAATTTTTATAGTATAGGCAAAACCAACAGGAGAAATAGTCATAAACCAGAGTTGTAGAGCCAACCCCTAATATTTGGCAATAAAAAACTTTATTGTTTTATGGTAATTTAGATACTTAAAGTTTTCTGTTGCCCTCCTTCATTTTCCCTTTGTGGTTTTCACCTGGAATTACCTGCCTACTTTAGAATCTTCGAGACCATCATTCTAAATTAATTACATTCCATTTAAATCAGGCAACAGGAATCACTGGCGTGGGAGTTTTTTTAAGGCTGAAATGAGCTTTAGTGTATTCTTTCTAGTGATAGTGATGATTGCATACTTCCTCTTTTCTTCTTTTAGTTCCATCAAATAATAAAAGAGATTTGAGGGGACACCCAGTTTTACTGTGCAAGATGAATAAGATTTTTTCCTTGTTGAAATTAATTTGCAAAGAGCATAATGGAAAAGTTCTAAAAGAAGAAATATTTAATTGCAATTATCTGTGTATCTTACTATTTAAGGAAACTCTGTCAAGGATTTTTAATTGAGGTTTTATGTAAATATATTAATTTCTTTCTATTACTTTATTTTTGAGTGATGCATACTTCAAATGGGTTTCCCTTGTGGCTCAGCTGATAAAGAATCCGCCTGCAACGTGGGAGACCTGGGTTTCATCCCTGGGTTGGGAAGATCCCCTGGAGAAGGGAAAGGCTACCCACTCCAGTATTCTTGCCTGGAGAATCCCATGGACAGAGGAGCCTGGTGGGCTATGGAATGGTCCATGGGGTCACAAAGAGTCTGACATGACTTAAGCCACTTAGCACGCACTTAGAAAACAAATAACTTTTTTTCTTGAAGTCATTTTTAGCATCTGTCATTCAGAATTGAAAGCTCAGAAGAAAGAGCATGCCCCCAAGACTAGTTTGAGCAGTTGATTGACAAGCGGGAGGAGAAGCTAACTTTGAACGTGTTTTGTCTTTTTCAGACCTCGGTCACAGCGGCCCAGCGGAGCATTATGAGAGTTCCCACTGGGGACAGCAGCCCCCTTACCGGAGCGAAGCCGGCTGCAGCTGGGAGAAGGCAGTAAGCGACAGGACGGACGCGGGGGCCTGGCCTTCCCTCCCGGGAGCAGAGACGGAATCCGCCTCAGAATGTACCACAGACACTGACTCTGCCTCCAACTGTGGCTCAGAGAACAGTAGCATGGCTACGGGGAGCGCCCAGGGCAGCTTCACTGGACAGACCAAGAAGACAAATGGCAATAATGGCTCCAACGGCGCACTGGTCCAGAACCCGTCCGCTCAGAGTGCCCTCGGGGCGGGGGGAGCGAACGGTAACGGAGGTGCCGCCAGAGTGTGGGGCGTAGCCGCGGGCGCCGGCTCGGGCCTGGCTCACTGCTCCCTCGGCGGCGGGGATGGGAAAATGGACAACATGATCGGAGATGGGAGGAGTCAGAACTGCTGGGGTGCCTCCAACTCCAGCGCTGGCATTAATCTTAACCTTAATCCCAACGCCAACCCAGCTGCCTGGCCTGTACTCGGACATGAAGGAACTGTGGCGACAGGCAACCCTTCCAGTATTTGCAGTCCGGTCAGTGCCATAGGTCAGAACATGGGCACCCAGAATGGGAACCCAGCGGGCACTTTAGGTGCTTGGGGAAACTTGCTGCCGCAAGAGAGCACAGAACCACAAACGTCCACTTCTCAGAATGTGTCTTTCAGCGTACAACCTCAGAACCTTAACACTGATGGACCAAATAACACTAACCCCCTGAACCCTTCCCCCAGCCCTCTCAACGCAGTGCAGACGAACGGACTGCCGAACTGGGGCATGGCTGTCGGCATGGGGGCCATCATCCCGCCCCACCTGCAAGGCCTTCCTGGTGCTAATGGATCGTCAGTTTCTCAAGTCGGTGGGGGTGGCAGCGAAGGAATCGGCAGTTCTGTGTGGGGACTGTCCCCAGGTAACCCGGCCACAGGAAACAGCGGTTCCGGGTTCAGTCAGGGGAATGGCGACACTGTGAACTCAGCATTAAGTGCTAAGCAGAACGGCTCCAGCAGCGCTGTGCAGAAGGAGGGGAACGGAGGGAACAACGCGTGGGACTCAGGACCTCCTGCGGGTCCTGGCATCCTCGCCTGGGGGCGGGGCGGGGGCAGCAGCGGCGTGGGCAACCTCCACTCGGGAGCTTGGGGTCACCCCAGCCGGAGCACCTCCAACGGGGTGAACGGGGACTGGGGGAAGCCCCCCAACCAGCATTCCAGTAGCGACATCAACGGGAAAGGATCAACAGGGTGGGACAGTCCTAGCGCCAGTGGCCAGAATCCTGCCGCGCAGCCTGGTAGCGAGCACGTGAACTCTTGGGCCAAAGCTGCGTCCTCTGGAACGTCGGCCAGTGAAGGCAGCAGCGAGGGTTCTGGCAGCCACAACGAAGGAAGCACTGGGCGGGATGGAGCAGAAGGCCGACGGCGAGACAAAGGGATTCTCGAGCAAGGGCACCTCCAGTTGCCAAGGAGCGACCTTGACCCACGAGTTCTGTCCAACACTGGTTGGGGACAGACTCCAGTGAAGCAAAACACTGCCTGGGAATTTGAAGAGTCCCCCAGGTCCGAGCGCAAGAACGACAATGGGACAGAGGCCTGGGGGTGTGCAGCTGCTCAGCCTTCACACTCAGGGGGGAAGAACGATGGGTCCAGCGTGAACAGTACAAATACCTCTTCAGTATCGGGGTGGGTCAGCTCACCGCCTGCTGCTGCGCCAGCGCACGCCGGCTGGGGAGACAGCAGCCACAAAGCGCCAAGCGGCCCCGGGGTTTGGGGGGAGGCGATAAGCTCTACTGCTGTTAATAATGCTGCTGCTGCCAAGAGTGGCCACGCTTGGAGCGGGACCGTAAATCAGGAGGACAAGTCCGCCACCTGGGCTGAGCCTCAGAAACCCAGGTCTCAGAACTGGGGAGACGGACACAAGCCGAACCCAGCCTGGAGCGCAGGCGGGGGAGACTGGGCAGATTCGCCCTCGGTCCTCGGACACCTGGGGGAGGGGAAGAAGAACGCCTCGGGCTGGGATGCTGACGGTAGTCGATCAGGGTCTGGGTGGAGCGAGGCTCCGAGGTCGGGGACCGGCGGCTGGGGCAATGGCACAAACGCGAAGGTGAATCCAGGGACAAGCTGGGGAGAGTCTCTGAAGCCCGGCCCCCAACAGAACTGGGCGAGCAAACCCCCAGACAGCAGCTCGAGTAACTGGGGAGGAGCCGCTTCCGTGAAACAGACAGGAACAGGGTGGATCGGGGGGCCGGTGCCCGTCAAACCGAAGGACAGCAGCGAGGCCACGGGCTGGGAGGAGCCTTCCCCGCCATCCATCCGCCGCAAAATGGAAATCGATGACGGTACCTCAGCTTGGGGCGACCCGAGCAACTACAACAATAAAACTGTAAACATGTGGGACAGAAACAACCCAGGCATCCAGAGCAGCACCCCGGCCGCCGCCGCCACCACGAGCGACAGCGCAACCGCGGCCGAGGCGCCCCCGGCGCACCAGGCTGGCGCCCAGCTGAGCCGATCGCCGCTGCTCGGCCCAGGTACGGCGCTGCGTGTGCCCTCAGAGGGCAGAGAAAAACTCTGGTTACGTCTGCACTCACACTCAACTAGCGTTTGTGTAGCAAATGACATTAAACTGATTTCCGTGTCCTTCACCTCACAGGATCCTATTTGAATATTATCCGAAGAGATAATACTATAGAGAAAAAATAAAGTAGGATTTTCTGATAGCTTTCAATCTAAGAGAAAGAAAAAAGAAAAAAACAAAGTAGGATTTTCTGATAGCTTTCAATCCTAGAGGGGAAAAAAATAGGATTTTCTGATAGCTTTCAGTCCAAGGGGGGCAAAATATTACCCACTTTGAAGAGAAAGGAGAGGAAAGAAGAAATATACCCTCTTTAGAAAGATTGGAGGCCATTGTGTTAGCCTGTGTTTACTTATTACAAAGTCTTTGTTTATTTATGAGATAAACCAGTGGTTTTCAACCCCAGAGGGCTTTCGTTAGAATTATCCAGGAGCTTAGGGAGCTGGTAGATACCAGTCTCAGAGACACCTCAGATGCAGGGGTGTTGCTCCAGATGGGAAGCCCGCCCACTGGCTGGTTTTAAAGCTCCACAGGTGTTTCTGATGTGGTTAACAATGAAATAAAACCGTTTTTGGTTGAAACGGTTTTATATGGCGTTATACAGTACAAATCATGTTCTGATTTCAGTGGAAGGAAAAATGCTAAAACTAGGTGAAAATCTGTGTGTTGAGGCCCTGCCCTGCACAAGGCACTCTCCTAGATACTGCAGTAAAAGAGGCGAGAAACTGTTAGGGACCAGAGCCTGCCCTCAGGGAGCGTGAACTGTGACTGAGGGAAAGAATTCAGTCCAGCTGGCCTTTGTAACTAGAGGACTAGCAAGAGGGGTGGCTCAGGTAGAGGCACTAGCACAGAAGACCTGGAGGCAAGGAGGGAAGGTAGCACCTTTGAGGAACAGAAAGAACTTCAGAGTAGTTGGTGCTGGGGGTGCGTGGTGGGGTTGGCAGGAAGGCCTTGCAGAGAAAGGAGACCACGGCAAGAGCAGGCACGTTCTTTTAGGCCCCGTGAAGGAACTGGGATGTATCCAGAGGTCTGGGAAGCCACTGAGAAGATGAAGCAGATTGAACCATCAGGCTTAATTAGAGAATCATGTCAGCTGTAAGATGAAGAGTGGATTAGTGGGAAGCACAGCTGGAGGAGAAGAGCTGAGCTCAGCCGTGTTTGGCATGATAGGGGAAGGAATAGTGGCCAGGGGCGCAGATGGAGACCACAGCCAGACTGGGAAACCGTCTGGATGTAGGAGCAAGGAGGGTTCAGAGCTCAGGCAGGTGGGCAGGTCACGGTGAGGTGCACTGCCTTCTCGAGGAGCACGCGGGAGGCACGTGTCCGTGGAGGGGACAGCAGAGGTTGAATGCAGAAGCCTGAGTCTCAGCCAGAGATGGGGCAGCAGGGACAGCTGTGGGAGAAGGCGATGAGCAGAGGGCCAAGGTCGAGAGGAGAGATTCTAAGATGATAGGGTTCTGGGCTTTCCTAGTGGCTTGGTGGTAAAGAAGCCACCTGCCAGTGTAGGAGACAAGATTGATCCCTGATCTGGGGTCCCACATGCCGTGTAGCAGCTAAGCCCACGGGCCACAGCTATTGAGCCTATGCCCTAGGGCCCGCCTCTGCAACATGAGAAGCCACCGCAATGACGAGAGTAGCCCCTTCTCGCCACAACTAGAGAAAAGCCCACACAACAGTGAGGACCCAGCACAGCCAAAAGTCAATAAATTATTATTAAGGAACACAGCTGTCACGTCACACCCACCCAAGTCTTTCTTCTGGAAGTCCTCGTCCCCATGACTTCTCCTTGGGTCGTGGTCAGAGCTCCCTCACCCCCTGCTCCGTGTCTCTCAGAAAGCTCCTGCTGACATGTGCCTGGTGCCTGGGTCCTGGCAACAAGCGTGGCCTGGCAGCACCGGGCAGCCACATGCGGCACATCTTATGCTCATCTCGTGTGGTCCTGATGGCCACCGGAGCCTCCTATTACAGAGGAAGCCGGCAATTAAGTGGCTTGCTGAGGGCACACGTGGTGGGGAGGCAGTGGGGGTCTCAGATGTGACATGCATACCTGTCTGCTGCCACTTGTTGAACATCTGACATCCATGACACCCCAGAGAGACAGGGACAACATCACGTACATCTGTGATTTTTTTTTCTCCCCTCTTGAATATGTTACCCTCAGAATCTCCTCTTAATGGTTTTTAGTAGACAAGGAATATGAGATTCACCTGGATAAAGGCATTTCTGTTTGGTTGGAAGAGCCAAAATTATTTTCTTGTATGTGAAAAATATTTATAGACAATTTTTTTTTTTTAACAAATTGCACACAGTCTCACTAAACATAAAAGAAGGCAAACAAGCCCCATCCACCACGGTGACTGCTTCTGGGTTCTTGCTTGTTTTTCGTCCTCTGGGCATTATGCACGTGTGTGATGTCTATAGTTGTCATGATAGTGTGAAAGCAGCTGTGAATTTTATTTCAACCACTTGGACAGAGACAGACAAAAAGTTAGAGAAATTACTTGCATGTACTGAGCCCTACTGGAAAAGGAAATGGCAACCCACTCTAGTACTCTTGCCTGGGAAATCCCATAGACAGAGAAGCCTGGCAGGCTACAGTCCGCGGGGTCACAAAGAGTTGGACACAACTTAGCGATTGAACAACAACAGCTGAGCCCTGTGCAGGGGCAGTGCGAACATACTGTATCACTGGGGATGATGGGGTTACTCGATAATTTTTCATTGATGACATTAGTCTCATATTCTGCCATGACACGGTGTAGCTGCATTGAGGCATTATCCTTGCCCCACATCACCTGTGATACTCCTGTCTGTCCTGAAGCGAGCGCTATTCTGCAGTGAGAGCAGAGTCCATCCGTCTCAGGAACCACAGATGATCTGAGCCTGTCCCTGTCCCGGTCTGGGGAACCAGCTGTTCTTTGTGCTACAGAAGGAGCAGTCACACCTCCCTCGGTTCCCTTCGTAACAGTGACAAGGTCACAAAGGTCACAAGGACCTTTGGGTCCACTCCATACATTTTCACACATACAGCCCCTGGCCCTTCCGGCTGGGGCTTGTGGTACCCGGGCTGCTGAGGTCCGAGATGGAAGCAGCAACGACAGCATCTGCTCGGCTGTGGCTCAGCTCCTGGCTTGAACACTTGCCTGCTTGTCGCAGATCGACTGGGATTCCCCCTCCAAACAAAGTGCCTACCCGATGAATGTCTGATGAGGTTTCTGCTGCAGAGCAGGTCTTTTACAGATTCTGCAGCATTACTCTTGACCGTCACTGATTTCACAAAATGCTCACTAACCTCAGAGTTTGGGCTTTAAGTTGCTTTTCGTTGTTGATCATCACTGCTTAAGGATGTTGATCTCTGCCTTGCAAAATAAGGTTTCTTGATGACATAGGTTTTCCTGTGTGTGTCCAGTTTTGTAAAAGTAAATACTACAGGACAATCATTTCGTCCCATTCTTATATTAATACTAGTTAGTTTTCTGATGAGCCTGAGGAAAACCGATACTAATTTACAAAATGCAGTGTAGGATTTACACTGGGTTGTTTGGATCTAGTTCAGACCCAGTCTGGAGCTGGAACACAGTAATCTAGAGAAATGCTGTGTATCTGCCTTTTTTTCCTCTCTCCTTTTTACCCTTTTTGTTCACACTGTGGGGCATGTGGGATCCTAGTTCCTCGACCAGGGGTCAAACCAGCGCCCCGTGCACCAGCAGAGTGGAGTCCTAGCCATCGGACCACCAGGGAAGTCCCTGTGTGCCTGCCTTTTTCAGTTGATTTTGTTATTTAATTGCCGGCAGTAAATCACTATCTTTGCGGCTGATTGACTTTTAGTAACACCTGAATTATTTCAGCTTCCCAAAACTTCCTTAATTTTTGTCTTCTATGTTAATTTTCCTAATTTTGTTCCTTCGATTTGTAGAACTGCTTCTCCCAATATGCATTATTGTTTTCTGTGTAATTACAGGTAATATTAGAGTTAGCCTTTGCCAACAATAGTGATTAGGGCTGACTTCGCTGACTGTACCTTTAGTCAGATGGCTCAGTTGGTGAAGAACCTGCCTGAAGTATGGGAGACCTGAGTTCGACCCCTGGGTCAGGAAGATCCCCTGGAGCAGGGAATGGCAACCCACTCCAGTATTCTTGCCTGGAGAATTCCATGGACAGAGGAGCCTGACTGGTTACAGTCCATGGGGTAGCAAAGAGCTGAACACGACCGAGCGATTAACACTTTCCCTGACATTGGTAGTAATTCACATTAGTTTTGCTCATTATACAGCTTGTAGTTTTAATGATTCATAGGTGGTAGGTAGTTTTGTCATTAATCATTACTGTTGTATTTTATTAGAGTAAAGCATCAAGGGAGCTGATTCCATGCTATTTTTAGTCAGAAAGTTAATTTATTTCATAACCGAGATGGTAATATTCATGTTTTAACCAAATAATTTAAATTTTGTGATTGGCTTATTTGTGGTTTCTATTCTTCAGTTAGTATTTAAAGTATTCACAGTTCTGCCTGTGAGAAGCTCTGTCTATATGAAAATTACAGCTGATGTGAGCTCTCAGCGTGACTTTTCAGAGTTATCACGTGAGCCTATAGGTAAAGGCACAAAGATCAGCATTTGGGTTGATTTGGAAAAATGAAGTTTGCATATGACATGTGAAATGTTTGTTTTACTGAAGTGTAAAGAAGGTGCGGAGATCCTTCCTGTGGCCTAGTCCCGTAACCTCGTCTGTGCCTCGTAGATAGTAACACCAGAGCCTTCCGGATTCACTAGGAAACCTGACCTAGTTTAATTGCGTCCTCATCTCTGGTACAAGTCCTGGCTCAGGATGCTATGGCAACTGGATGAGGTGGAGGAATGAAAGAAGAATTCTGAGATACGCTTTCATTCAGTTAGTTGGAACCACCCTTCTCCATAATTCCTGCATTTGGTTCCCATCTTTTAACACCAGTATCTCAACTCCTTTCCCAACGCACTGCTGGTACCTAAGAACCATCTGGGTGCTCTATTGTTACTTTATCCGCACACCTTTCCTCTTCTATCTTCTTTGTTTGCCCAGGCCTGTGTCTTTGACGTTGGTCAAAAGATAAGTGAGAAATATGTTGCAACTTGTAAATTTTTTATAAGAGATTAATGTGAAATTTCTTTTAGGTTGTTACATATAACACCAGAAGCAAAAGAGCTACTCCTTAAACTTTAGTTCTAAACTAGTTTTTAAAACTCTGTCTTGTTGCAGATGGTGTGAATTGAATAGCTTTTAATATAACGGACTTTCAGCTTTAAGGGAGTAGGGGACAGGAGCGAGAAGACCGAACTATAAAAAAAACAAAACAACAAATCTGATTAGATCTAATGTTGTCTCCTTTTCACCTTCTCCTAAAAGCCATCCTAAAGATAATCTCAAGATGATTTTGAACTTGAAATCACCATTCTTACCTTCTCTCTCTCTCTTTCACTTTTGTTGTCTTCCCTCTCCCCCGTGCCCTCTTCAGTTTCGTCGGGCTGGGGAGAAATGCCTAACGTTCATTCGAAGGCTGAAAACTCTTGGGGGGAGTCATCATCCCCGTCCACCCTGGTTGATAATGGCACAGCAGCGTGGGGTAAGCCACCCAGCAGCGGCAGCGGATGGGGGGACCAGCCCACCGAGCCGGCGCTGACGTTCGGGAGGGCCAGCGCCCCCGCTGCCGCCCCAGCCCTGTGCAAACCAGGTGAGCCCAGCGTCTTGCCCGCCCTGGGTCGGCTGTTTGGAAGTGGGCCCACGTACTCTATTTAGGGGCATACTTCTCATTTAGCTTAAAGAATTAGTGCTTTAGACACTTCCTGATTTTATTTACATTTTAAGTGAAAGTTGCTCAATCGTGTCCGACTCTTTGCGACCCCAGAAACTGTGGCCTGCCAGGATCCTCTGACCATGGAATTCTGCAGGCAAGAATACTGGAATGGGTTGCCATTCCATTCTCCAGGGGATCTTCCTGACCCAGGGATTGAACCCGGGTCTTCTCGCATCGCTGGTGGTTTCTTTACTGTCTGAGCCACCACATTTTAAGACTAATGTTAAACTTAGACTATAAAGAAATATTTGCCCTGTCTGATAAATGAACGAAAAGGAGCTTTTGGGAGAAGTCCATGTTCTCCTTTTAAAAGAAAAAGAAGGGAAAAAAATGATGGTTAGTGGCCTCCAGGCTTCTTCAGCAGAATCCGCCTACCTGTCATTCAGACGATTTAAGCCTGCTCTCTCACTGAGCAGGTGGATAAGGCAGGTCATTTTTCTCTTTGAGGCTGAGTCTTGAAGAATATATCACTCCGCAGTTTGGCACTTGCCTTGCTTTTGCTGCCTAGCAAGCAAAATTCAGCGTTGGATGCTCCACATTTATGCTTTCTCTCTTTCTTTTCTTTTTTTAAAAAGAAAAAACAACATGCTGTGTTTTCCTCCCATTATCAGAAAGTATAAGTGTACATAAAATGTGCATCCTTACTGTTGTCCAGATCATGTTCACCAAGTGGAATCCTGTAATGTGTGGCTGCTTTACAATATGATGCTTACAACAACAGTATGAATGTAAGTTGACTGATTTAAGTCCAGTGTAACATTAATTGTTCACACGGGTGCAAAAGCGCTTTTTTTTTTTTTTTTTGGACACTATGAAGATCTTAAAAATGCAGCTTTACTGTTTTGGTGTTTTGCTACTTTGTCAGCACTGGATAGTGTGCTGTATATGCCAGCCATCCCGCTGGATTGTTTATCCCATTCATGTCACTTCCTGTCAGAAGCCCGAAGGACAGGAAACTCCGGGGTGTGTAGATTCAGCTGTCGAGGCCACGTATCTGTATCATTTGTCCGCCTAATTACATGCCTGGCCACCTTGTAAGCCTCGAGTCTTCATTGTCTTACAGACTGTAGCTAACTGTAGTGTTTCTTGACCTTTGGCCTTCTTCAGATTACCCAGGAAGGAGAGTTTGGGGTGACTTTTACACCAAAGGTTATTTTGTATTTTAAGAAAGGAGAAAAAAATATCCTGAAATCGAAATTCAGTATTCAGTTTGCCTCTGCCCAAGCCCTTGGCTGTGTCCCTCCTGTTGTTCTGGGAGCGTCTCCTCGGAGCTTGTCAAGACTTCAGGCTGCTAAGCCCAACCACAGACCTGCCGAACTTTTCAGGATCCTCAGGCGGCTCAGGTCTGGTCACACTGGGGGAGCACTGGTCCACGTGACATACCACGTGACTTGGAGGACCGTGATCATTTTCAGGACTCTGCCTTTTACCAGCATCTCATGTCACTCAGCAACGGCCACCTTCGGTAGCCCCCAGGATTTATCGTTAGAATGTCCATGTTTCAAAACGACCTCTAGGGACTTCCCTGGTGGTCCAGTGGCTGAGACTCCACGCTCCCAATGCAGGGGGCCCAGGTTTCATTCCTGGTCAGGGAACTAGACCCCTCACACCGCAAGTAAAGATTCTGCGTGTTGCCAACCTAGATGGAAGATCCCGCATGCCACAACTAAGACCCAGCACAGCCAAATAAATAAATGTTTTTTAAAAGTGATCTCTCAAAAAAAAAAAAGTGATCTCTCGTGGGTTAAGGGCATTGGAACAGCACAGATTACAAATAGCTGGAGTTTGAAGACAAAAACAGATGCACATATACATGTACATTACATGTCCAGTAAGAAAAATGAAATTCTTAGGTGTAAGGGAGGACAGAGGAGTAAGAGGTAGGTGCTGTACACCCCTCTGTCCTGCCTCCCCTCAGCGGTGTCACAGGGCACCCCTGTTTGCTCTGGGAATGGTGACTGATACACACTCCTGCTCCCTCTCTTTCTAGCTTCAAAATCTATGCAAGAAGGCTGGGGCAGCGGCGGGGACGACGCGAACCTCGGCGCTAGTCAGTGGGAGGACGAGGATGGGGGCGTGTGGAACAACGCGGCTTCGCAGGAGAGCCCCTCTTCCTGCAGCTCCTGGGGGAACGCCCCCAAGAAAGGGCTCCAGAAGGTGCGTGCGGCCCCAGGGGTGGGGGTGGAGGAGTGAACACTGAGCCCTGCGTGGTGTCAAAGTGGTGTCTCCAGTTAGTGACAGAGGGAGCCGAGGCTCTCAGAGTGCCCTGAGGACCCTGGGGGTCCTGAGGCCCTCTCAGGGGCTCTCTGCCGAGCGCAGAGCATGACACGGGATTGCTGTCACAGCAGCGTGAAACAGGGACTGATGGGTGAATCCAGATGCTTCTGTGAAGCTGCACAGTGGAGAGAGGTCCAGCCAGGTCTGACACTACCACTCCTCTCACCAAAAATTTATGTTCTAGAAAATATAATTATTTCCCATTAAAAAAATATTGTCATGTTAACATATAATGGGGCATGTTGAGTGTGTATGTGCATGCGTGCTCAGTCCTGTTGGACTGCTTTCTACCCCATGGGCTGTAGCCCACCGGGCTCCTCTGTCCATGGGGTTTCCCAGGCAGGAATACTGGAATAGGTTGCCATTCTCTTCTCCAGGGGATCTTCCCAACCCAGGGATCAAACCCGCATCCCTTGTGTCTCCTACTTGTCATGGGACAGCAAAAAAAAAAAAAAAAATTATAATAATAACTTAAATGTATATTGATGGCATAACTAGTTAAATTATGCTACATCCATATTATGAAAAACTAAAAAAAAATTTTTTAAGAAACTTTAAAAATACTCATATGAAAAGATCACCAAAATATATCGCTAAGTGAAAGGTGAGGCACAGAATCTGTGTCTAGCACATCCCCGATTTTAGGGGCAGAGGAAGAGGAGAGAAAAATGGATGAGTCACACGTGCACTCATAACAGCCTCTGTAGAATTCAGAACTGTCTGGAAGGATGAGGAAGCAAAGGAGAACTCAGCAGACTGGGCATGGAGTAGGAGGAAGATGCTTCCCTGTGCCCCTCATTTCTGCTCTCGAATTGTGTGAATGTATTACCCGTTTAAAACAATTCCAGTTTGAAAGCCACTCAACTGGCAGTTAGCAGAACCCAGAAACTAAAACCAGGGCCCTCTGCTCATAAAGAGTAAGTGTGATGGCAGGCTTCAAATTAGGTCTTTTCACAGTCTGGCTGGCAAATCATCCAATTAATGACAGGACCAGAAACACCAAACTGGTGAATTAAAATACTGTGTGTTGTTGGCACACCTGGCTCTGGCCACGTGGGAAGGATTAAAATCACCTCCAGAGAGGCTGCTCCCTTGAGAAAAGCCAGCATGTTAGCTTACTGTCACCCCACAAACTGTGTCCTGTGACTGGCACAGGTGGAAAAGGACCCACCTGCCAATGCAGGAGACATAAGAGACACAGATTCAAACCCTGGGTCTGAAAGACCCTGCTGGAGGAAGGCATGGCAACCTACTCCAGTATTCTTGCCTGGAGAATCCCGTGGACCGAGGAGCTTAGCGGGCTATAGTTCATGGGGTCGCAGAGTTAGACATGACTGAAGTTATTTACCTCGGGTTCTTTTGTTTAATAAGCTTCTTAAACTTTCTTTCTTACTTTCTGACTGCCCCGGGTCTTCCTTGCTCTAGCTGTGGTGAGCCGGGGCTGCTCTCCAGTTGCAGCGAGCGGGCTTCTCTTTGCAGTGGCTTCCCTGTAGCAGAGCAAGGACTCTAGGGGCTCAGGCCTCGATAGTTGTGGCGCCTGGGCTGAGTTGGCCCTTGGCATGTGGGATCCTCCCCAAGTAAAGTAAAATTTAAAAACTCGACACACAAGCCCATGGAGGGTACTGACAGGGGCCAAGAGGCATCACCTCCGAGTTGGAACCATCTCTGGCGGTTGGAATCAGAGACCTGGCCTGGCCCCTGGGATCGAACCCGAGTCCCCTGTAAGGTGGACTCTTACCCACTGTACCAGCAGGGACGTCCCAGGCCCAGTTTTGAAAGCACTGTGAAGGATAGTTCATATGAGGTGAGAATGCATCATTAGCTCCCCCTCCTTGCAGGAAAGCAGGAGGTTGTCCAGGGGTCATGTCCTGACGCCCAGCCCCCCAACAGTCCCCACTGCCCCCTCTCCACCCCACCACCTTTTCCTCTTTCGCTCAACTCACTCCTCCTGTCTTCACCCTCCCCTCACCATTTTCTCCACCCCGAAGGCCATGAGTTAACAGAATTAACAGGTTTTTTCGTTCCTTTCATCTTGTTGCCTTTTCATCCTGTTGGAATGAACACCCTGTATTTTGTCATCTTTTAGAACAAAGCTTATAAAAGAGCACAAGCCATGTAATTTTTAGTAGATTTTATATGTTATTACAGGGTTGTGTTCAAGGGAGCACCTAGCATGCGTATCTGATAATGGACACGGTTCCTATTTGTGATGAACGAAATGCATCTTCTAGGGGAAAAGAATCATTATCTTGCTTTTTTTTAAGTCCATAAACTGCACACACATGCCAAATGCAAAAGCACCCTGAGGCATCCCGTAGGACAAGCCACGAGATGCTGTCAGGGGAATGGGGAGCACAACAGTGCTCATCGTTAACACAGGGGTGCTGTGACTTGTAGATCAACATGAACTTTGGGCGTCTCCCATTTCTGGAAGAAATGCGTTATTAAAATGTGGTTCATGTGGACCTAAAGAGTATCATACAGAGTGAAGTAAGCCAGAAAGAGAAAAACAAATACGTATTAACTAACTTCTAAGTGGAATCTAGAAAAATGTCACAGATGCTCTTGTTTGCAGGGCAGAAATAGAGATGCAGACAGAGAGGACAAGTGTGTGGGTACCAAGGGGTGGAGGAAGGGGGGGAGGAGCTGGAAGACTGGGACTGACGCATGCACCTGTTGATACTGTGTGTAAAATAAGTGCCTAACGAGCCCCTGCCGCACCACACTGGGGACTCCGCTCAGGGCTCTGTGGTGACGGGAGTGGGGAGGAAACCCAGAAAAGGGGGGACACATGAACCCGTGTAGCTGCTTCACTTTGCTATCCAGCAGAGACTAGCACCATTGTCGAGGACTATACTGCAGTGAAACGTAGCTTAAAACCACACCACAGAACCTGCCTCATGGACTTTCTCCTCCCACCCTTGGTTCTAGGGCATGAAAACACCTGGCAAGCAGGACGAGGCCTGGATCATGACGCGGCTGATCAAACAACTCACAGACATGGGCTTCCCGGTGACTGGCGTCTTCCTTTACTGCTGCCGCCGTGTGTCCTGGCCTGCATGGCCCTGCCATGTCCTGTGTCCGCCTTTGTCATGTGTGACGCAGGAGGACGACCTCTGGGGGATGAGCTTGTTGGCAGAACCTAGCGCGTACACCCCCTTTCACCTGGGCACTCCTGCTTAGGGATAGCACTAATGTGCAAAGATCCACACCCTTTCTGTCTAGGAAGGTGTGAGGACCTTTTTCTAGAATGAAAAACGATGGGTGACTTTTAATTTTCATTGGTTTATACCGTATTCTATTTTCTTTTCATCTGAAAGTTGAGTTTTCATTCATTTCTGCAAGATTGACCGAGATCTCAAGGGAGAACTTGGTATAAAGCACTGAAACCTTGCGTCCAGATAAAGAAACCCAAGCAGACCTGTTTGGTGCCCAAGTTTTAGATTGTGTACAGGGTGTTCCTCTGAAAATGCCTCCCCATCTCTTCAGTTCCCAAGAGCCAGTGGAAGCGTTCAGATTATGAACGATACCTCCTGCATCTGCCCTGTTGTCCCTTCAAATGTCTTCTCTCCAAATCTTCACTCAAATGAGCATTTACCTTTTGGTTGCCATGGGTGCCCCTTCGGGACGGATCTGGAGCAGCCCCAGACTGGAAGGGGGGACCACATACTTCTCACAGGATACAGGCCCCTGACCCCACATGCGCTCAGCCCCGGGGCCCAGCCTCCCCACCCACTACGAGGTGATGGGCCCAGGGTGGCCCCGAGGTCCTTCCGCACCGAGCCCTGCTTGGTCTCCACCAAGACTAGTCTGTTTCAATCCGAGAGATGATTACCAAAGTGCATCTATTAGTACTTGTGTTGTGTTATGTTGTTTTTGTGTTTTTGGGGGGAAAGTAGTTGACAACAGACACATCCTGGAATCTGACTCTCCCCGTGAGTCTCTGCGGCTGCCCTGGGAGAGGTCACCCTGCTGACCACAGAGTCAGTGACAGGACTCCCTTGGCAGTGGACATTTGGGGTTTAAAGTCTTCTTCCCTCTGAAAATCAATTCAATACGTCTTCTTATGACAAGGATTTTTTATTTAGAAGACACTTGTCTCTAACCACAACGAGAAAAGTATTTCTGGTTCCTAAACGGAACAACGTCAGGTTACTGTCAATTGCGTCCCTGCATTAACAGTGCTCGAGCTCTTTGCAAGCTTTTCATTCTGTTATCGCACCTCCTAATGAGAACTCCGCTTCCCTCTGCAGAGAGAGCCAGCTGAAGAGGCCTTGAAGAGCAACAACATGAATCTCGATCAGGCCATGAGTAAGTGCAAGGATGCACCTCGAGCACACTTTGTTTTACAGATGTGCGTTTCTGAGTCTCAGTGTTCTGAGTCATGGGTCAGTGGTTGAATACGTGCTCAAGAGACAGGGTGTACACCTGCTGCGGGGCCAGTCCTTCAGGACTGGTGGTCTTTGGGGACAGACGGCCAAGCACCACATGGAACCGTGTCTGCTTTTCCTGTTTCTTTCTTTTTCTTTTTTTTTTTTCTGCAACAAATAGGTGAATTGATACTATCCTCATCTGTTTTGAGGGGAAGAGATAGTGACCCTCTTAGAGAAAGGTGCTGGGGCCGCGTGCCCAGCTTCTTTGCTGCTGAGTGAGCCGAAGTACTAAACCAGGAAGTACTGAACCCTTGCTCCTTGGGGATATACGGGGATGAGATTGTCCAAAGCCTCTGGCCACAGCATTTTTGTCAACCAGTCGATGCGTTAACCTTGTTTTATGTGTGTTTCTGGGTTTGGAGGGCTATGAGGAGGGTTAAGCTGTATTTTTTTCCCTTTCCTTTTCTTTACTCTTTGGCCACACCCTATAGCATGTGGGGTCTCAGTTCCCCGACTAGGAATCGAACCCACACCCCCCAGCAATGGAAGGCAGGGTCTTAACTTACCACTGGACTGCCACAGGAAGTCCTGTGTTTCTGTGTAATACATATTTCTCATGAATAATCATATGCCAGCCATGTTTCTTTATAGTAAAACATTAGCTAAGAAGGGTGACCTGACCCTGGGTCATTAATAACGATCATAGATTTTGTTCACTTTTCGACTCACACCAATGCCATAAGCTTTAAAAAAAAAAAAAAAGATGCTTTTTTTTTAAAAAAAGAGAAGTAAGTCATCATCTTGTGAGTCCAGAAGTTGATCTGCTTTCCATCTTTTCTGAAGCTTCATCTCACCCTGTAGATGCTCCTCTAGCTCCCTCCCCGCAGGCTTACACACAGATGGTGCTGCCTCTCCCTTTTCTGGCTGCACCCCCTGTTGCTCATCAGCAGCTGCTGAACAAGGCAGGCGCCATGCATCCTTCTTGTGCTCAGGACATTGGCTCGGGGACCCTGGGGACCATTGAAATGACCAGCAGAAGGCAGAGAGATGTCGAAAACCTGGCCCCACGTAGACCACGAGAAAGACACTTGTCGCTTTGTGAGAGCCTGAGCCAGGCGTGTGTGTGTGTCACCTGGGGTGCAGATTCTTCCCTGCCCTGCATGCGTCTGCAGATGACCAAAAAGCACCGCAAGTTTTGATGTGAGGCTACAAGTGTATTTTAGCAAGTAGGTGAACTCACCAGCTCAGAATTCACAAATAACGAGGGTCAAACTTTATAATTGTATGCAAATGCCGGATGTGTGGTGTCAGCTGCCAGGACAGAGGGACCAGGTATGGTCTGTAGGGAGTCAGTCCTGCCTCCTCAGAGCTGCGAGGCAGTGCCAAGCTCGAGGCAGCTGAACAGACACCAGTCTCTGAATCGAAGGGGCATAGGACAGACCTGTCTGGTTTGCGTTGTTATGTCCCCAACATCTGGGCAGGTCCTTGCAGCCGGAAGGGACTCAGCAGGTGGAAGTCAGTGGATATGAGGTGGGACAGCTGGAGAAAGGCCCTCTTTGGGTAAAGGGGCAACAAGTCCCAGGGGAGAGGAAGGGCCTAGCCCCCTTGGGGCAGAGGTGGCTGATACAGAGCAGGGGCCAGACCACAGCCTTCCGCGATTGGCCCTGTCCTCTGGGGGGTGAAGGTCTTGACTCCTCCCCTGCAGTGTCGGCTGGCACCTGTCTGTGCTCAGCATTCGTAGCTGACCCCCTGGGCGTCTAGTTTCAAATGCCACCTCTGTCTGCTGTGCCCCAGGCGCTCTGCTGGAAAAGAAGGTGGACGTGGACAAGCGTGGACTGGGAGTGACCGACTACAACGGGATGGTCACCAAGCCCCTTGGCTGCCGCCCACCAATCTCCAAAGAGTCTTCCGTGGACCGCCCCACCTTCCTTGACAAGGTATGAGTTTAGGTGGCTTTTTTGTTTGTTTTTAACAAGACGTGTTTTTCATTTTCACTGTGTTGGATTAGAAAGTTACTGGACTGTAATATTTAAGTGACTTTTGCCCATTTTTATACTATATATGAATGTTTGACTCAAAAGAGGTAGTGTTATAAGTATTTCATATGATGTGATGAATAAAAATACTGAAATTGAAAACTGATTTTCATGCCAGTGGGTAAATTTGGCTACTTGAATTTGTCCTGTAGACGGGAGGCATCAGATTTCTCTTAAAAGAGAAATGGTCTTATGTGCATAGTTCTTCCCATTGGAAATGATGGGGATTACATGTTTAATCCCAGAAGAAGGGTCTAGAAGTGGTTGGGCATGGACCTTGCTCAGATGAGCCGCTTCAGAAAACCCACAGGTGCGGGAAAATCACCTTAGATGTTTTAGCAAGTAGAGTCGCCAGTTCACTCCCCTCAGTATTGTCCGGCTTGGTGCCCCTTCTCCAGACTGGTGTGACCTCAGAGGGGAAACAGTGTCCTATTAAGCTCAATCAAAATGTCTGACCTTGAAAAAATAATAGAAGCAAGGAAAGACAACTCTAAAGCAAACAGACAGAAAAAGCAGGCTCACAGAAGAGACAAGAGTTGGTCTCTGTTCTCAGATTAGCCATGTCCCCCAACCAGAGCTCCACGCAATGGAGTCCTCACTGTGCCCGGGGACATCAGCATTTCAGACAACAATGAATTGTTTTTGACCATACTTATTCTGCAGTATTATCAGGTGTTTATCTGAAATTCCAGTTTAACTCAGCATCCTGAATTTCTATTCGCTAAGTGTGAGACCTTGACTTGTTTTTGTACCTTTAAAATCTGAAATAATACTCTAGGCTTGACGTGAAGTTAGATGAGGTAAATTTACAAAGGACCTGGTGCCTTAGTAAATGTAAAAAAAATAATAATAAGGTTTTTGTTTTATAATTTACCTTATTATTAGGTTAAGCCATATGAAATCAAAAACAGATGAATGTCAGCAGATCTCAACCTAGTATATACCTAGAGCCTTGTTAGTAAGTTCTCAAAGGAGCCTGTTTGTTTGAAAACGGTTGTTAAAGTGTTTTCCAAGTAAGACTTACACTGTCTCTCTCCTGACTCCTACCCATAGGCAGGGCTGGTAGTGATGAGACTATGTAAGCTGTTATGTGTGTTTGTAAAATAATTGTTAAAATGAAAACAGCGTCTTAATCCTGTTTCTCTTTTTTCTTTTTCCCCTCTTCCTTTTGCCCATTTCTCCATCCTCTCGTCTACACGTTTTTGATCTTTTACTTCTTTATATTCATCCATATCCCTGTCTGCGTCCTGGGAACTTGTGCTTTGTGTGTGGACGGGCCCTGCCCACAGCTCACGCTTTCTTTCCCCAATCAGGATGGCGGCCTCGTGGAAGAGCCCACGACTTCACCATTTTTGCCTTCACCAAGCCTGAAGCTCCCCCTTTCCAACAGTGCACTCCCCAATCAGGCCCTGGGCGGGATTGCCTCAGGGCTGGGCATGCAAAACTTGAATTCTTCTAGACAGGTAAGGCTGCTGGCAGAGGCTCACTGGGGTCTCGTTTATGTGCCTTTAAATCAGTGTATTTGAGACATGAACTTTGTCTTTAATTAATACCCGGATGTAAAAATACCACTGAACCTGTAAAGGGAACTGAGCTATGACAAGGGTTTCCTTTCAGGTGACGTGCTGCTGTCAAGAAATGAATCCAATTCTAGAAATTTAACCATGTTACAGGAAATGCTTGAAAATTATTTCTGCGTGTAACTGAAATGTATTTGAGTTCAACACCCTTGGTGCTAACGTGCTGCTCGTGAAGTGACGCGGGCTACAGAGCGGTCTTTAGCTGCTGGATCTAGTCACAGGTCCAGGCGGTGCTGTTCTGTCTCTCCTGACCATGGACACCTTAAATGCATTATTAATCTGCAGGAAAACGCCGTACTCTCCCTTTTCCCCCAGAAGTAGAGATGACACCTCCTGCAGGTTCTCGGTGGTTTTCAGAGTGATTTTGGCATCGTTCCCTGCCTTTGACACAGTCATGGAAAAGGTGCAACTCACTGTCAGACGTCCCTGAGGCAGGACCTGGGGTTTTGAACGGTGGCCGCCTCGTGTCACTTATCTCCCCTGGGATGAAGTGACATGAAAGCAAGTGCATGTCCTTCCCGACCCTGGACCTGTCCTTGATTTCCTCCCGGTTGAGGCTCACACACACACACAGCTCTGAGCCTTCTCTTCCAGCAATGCTGTGAGGTTGGGGGTGGCCAAGGCCAGTTCTCAGCGCACCCCAGTCCACGAATCCCCACCGCCGTCTCATGTTGCTCATGAGGCTCACCAGTCAGCAGTGGAGGTTTCAGCTGCCATCGGGAACTCAGAGGCCAGGCCAGCGGCCCCGAGGGTCAGATAACTCAGCTGACCCTCAACTTCCGTCCCAGGAGACGGAAAGAAGCACTCAATATAGTGTCTGTATTTAACACAAACTCACCAGCCTGAATTTGTGCATGTATTCAGTTTCAGGTCTTGTTGAACTCAGAACAATTTCCTTTTGGAAAATGTCTTCTCTCCGGTTAGTGATCCCTGCCCATTACCCCAGCACAGACGGTGCCTGTATGCCCTTGCGTGCCGGTCTCCTGTGGGGCTCAGTATTCCTGCAGTGCCCGTGAACATGGTGGGCTTGTCGTGGGTCACCTAAAACCAGCTCTGAGTGGCTTCTGTGATTTAAAGATATAGGCGAGCTTTGCAGGTGGATTTTCTGTCATCTGCACCTGATTTGAAAAGCATTTCTTTTTTTTTTTAATTTTTTATTTCATTTTGGAGTATAGCTGATTAACAACGTGTGGTAGTTTCAGGCAGACAGCAGAGGGACTCGGCCATGCATATGCATGTATCCATTCTCCTCCCAGCTCCCCTCCCGTCCAGACAGCCGCATAAGATTGAGCAGAGTCCCGTGTGCTACACAGCTGGTCCTTGTTGGTTATCCGTTTTGCTTATGGCAGTGTGTGTACATACCCATCCCAGACTCCCTGAATATCCTTTCCCCCAGTCCTTCTCAGCAGCCATAAGTGAACAGTACTTCTTTTTCACTTTTTGGCTCATGGGGCTTTTGGTGGAAAAGAAATGTCACTTATGTTGAAAATCATGATCTTAATCTGTATCTTCTCTCTTTTTTTTTTTTTTGAGTGTGTATGTCTTGTGTTTTTTTTTAATGTATTTATTTTTTAATTGGAAGATAATTGCTTTACAATGTTGTGTTGGTCTCTGCCATACATCAACATGAATCAGCCATAGAGACACATATGTTCCCTCCCAGTTGAACCACCCACCCCATCCCACCCCATCTGGGTTGTCACAGAGCACCAGGTTAAGCTCCCCGTGTCATATAGCAACTTCTCCTTAGCTGTCTGTCTTACACATGGTAATGTATATATTTCTATGCTACTCTGTCAATTCATCCCACCATTTCCTGCTCCCACTGTGTTCATAAGTCTGTGAATAGCACTTCTTTATTTTTTAAGTCCCATCAGTTTAATAATAATAATAATAATAACAAAAATGGAAGACAGAGGGGGCAGGAAAGGGACAGGGGCATGGGAGCCCTGCTCATGGCACCAGGCCTGGCCACTGGGCCCTCAGTATTGCTGTTGCTGTGAGCTCGGAGGGGCAGCAATTGTCCTGTGGGGGCCTCCCTTCACCTGGGTCGAGGACCCTTCTTCTGGGACGTGCTGTGGACAGCCCTTGTTGAGCCTTCCCTCTGGTGCGAGTTGCGCGTGGCAGGAAGCCGGTGCAATTTTGCCCCCCTGCCTGCTCCCGCAGCGACGGTGTAACCACCCCTCCCTCCCCGTCCGCAGACACCGAGTGGCAATCTGGGCATGTTTGGCAGCAGCGGAGCAGCGCCCGCCAGGACCATGCAGCAGCCGCCGCAGCCGCCCGTGCCGCCCCTGAGCTCCTCCCAGCCCAGTCTCCGTGCTCAAGTGCCTCAGTTTCTATCCCCTCAGGTCAGACCGGCACCCGCGGTGCAGGGAGAGTGGGCAGCCCTCGTGTGTGCACCCGTCCACCCGACCCCCCTGCCCCGGGAGGTGTGCCCAGACCCCCCCCGAGGGCCGGCCCCCTCCTCTCAGAGTGCTCAGGCCAGTGGCATGCACCAATGCTGGGACGTCTGTCCCGCTCGCGAGAAGATTATCCAGATGGACCCGCCGAGCTGCCCTAGACTGATGGGGGAGCAAGGTGGTGAGGGAAGTTGCTTAGGATGTAAAAGAAACTTCTTAGAATCAATGAAGGACTGAGTAATGCTTCAGTGACAGACTAAACAGGACAACAGAGAATAGTACCTATGTTACAGACTGTTAAGTTTATTCTTTAAAAAAAAAAGCAAACAATTCAGAAAAAGGATATTGTTGTTTTTTGTAGCTATAAAGCATAGAGTCAACTTTTTTCATGATAATACCAGTTTACTTTTAGAACATTCCATTGTTTTAGACTTTGGACTGAGGTTTTAATTATAATGTTACAGTCCTTATTACACCTTATAAGAAGGCTCAATAATAGACTAAATGGTAAGTCATAGAATTTGATCCCTGGGTCGGGAAGATTCCTTGGAAAAGAAAATGGCAGCCCACTTCAGTATTAATGCCTGGGAAATCCCACAGACAGAGGGAGCTTGGCAGGCTACAGTCCATGGGGTCGCAAAGAATCAGACACAACTTAGCAAATAAACCACCACCACCACAGTTATTACACTATAATTGTTTGACCTGAAATCTATGCAGCGAGTTGAGATGGCTGAAATCTGGGTAAAAGAATAGTTAAATTTTGTAAACAGAATACACTCTTAAGATACACTCTTTAGCCACTACGACAAAGAGGCCCTGAAATACAGACCCTCAGACAAGACAGACAGGTACTTTTTGCCCAGGCAGCAGTGCAGAAAGCAGCAGCTCTGCCTCAGGCACGTCCCAGGAGGAAGAAAAATGAGAGACAGACCCCTTCCACTCACGTCCCACTACCTGGACTTAGTGACTCGGCTGCCCCAGCGAACGGGCGGGAGGAGAGAGGGGCCTGGAGGCAGAGCGCGGCCTTCCCCACACTCTGCAAACTAGCGTGTCCTGAATGTTACTCATCTGTGTGCCTTCCTTTCAAGCAAAGGCTCTTAATGTGTTTTCTCTAAATTGACTTGCCTTCTTAGTTAGATAAATTTATTCCTGAAACTTTACATGTCTGTCATAAATAGAAAAATCAACATTTTCCTAATACATGTTAGATGACTATGAAAGTAAAAGATGCCCTTCCACATACTACCTAAGATCACCTTGTGTAAACGTTATGATAAATGTACAAAGCACGTGTCGGGGCGCCCTGAGCTGGCCAGTGCCAGGCCCCTGACAGTGCAGAGCAGCGAGTTCCAGGTGAGCAGGGAGGAAGAGTCAGTCCTGACGGTCGTGACAGTCACGATCAGGGCTGGCAGGTCACACGAGCGCCTGTGCCACATGGAGCCTGGGCATTTGGGCCCCCCAAGAGGAATGTCTTGGGGTCCCACCAGCAGGGAGAGACCACTACCTGAGCAGGTGAACTTGAGAAGGGGTCGTTGCCCGCCCTGCAACGAGGACCCTTTGGTCAGGTGGTGGTGCAGCCGTCTACCAAGCTCCCATGGGGACCGGTCCCAGGTGCCTGTGTGCCTCGGACTTCCTCCCGGGAAGGCATGGTAAAGTGAATATGCCTTCACTGTCCCCAGGCCTTGAATGATGCCTGCTCGTTTTCACTTCAACAGAAGACAAAATCAGTAAGTGACAGGAGGAACCCAGGACCTTAGAGCATTAATTCGCAACTAAAATATTAATATTTGGAGGAAGACATCTCTTTCTTGCCTTCTGTCACTCCCTCCTTCCCTTCCTCCCTTCCTTTCTTCCTTCTACATTCTCCGGTAAAACATGCTAACTACTGATGTTGGAATGTCTGTAAATATTTTAATGGCTTTTGAAGTTCAGTCATGAGACAAATACAATTGTCATTTAATCAGTCAGTTTTGAATCTTGAAAAACTACACAGACAAGCAAATGTTTGATTAGAGTTCATGTTTAATGGTGCATTTTGTGTTAACAGGTTCAAGCACAGCTTTTGCAGTTTGCAGCAAAAAACATTGGTCTCAACCCTGCACTATTAACCTCGCCAATTAATCCTCAGCATATGACGATGTTGAACCAGCTCTATCAGCTGCAGCTGGTGAGTCAGGGTAGATCTGCTCGGGATGTAGGACGTGGGAAGGGCATTCTCCACGTGTTCACTGGCATGAGCCAGAACATGCACACCAGCTGATAAATGTAGTTACTTTAATGCTCATCTTCACGTCAGGGAATGTCACTGAGACTTTCTTGAAGTTGGTAAACTATTAAAAGTATTAGGGGACTTCCCTGGTGGTCCGGTGGCTAAGATTCCAAACTCCCAATGCAGGGGGCTTAGGTTCGATCCCTGGTCAGGGAGCTAGAGCCCACATGCCACAACTAAGAGTTCAAATGCTGAAACTTAAAAGAAAAAAAAAAATCGCACGTGTTGCAGCAAAGATTGAGGATCCTGTGTATCACAGCTAAGACCCCATGCAGCCAAATAAATAGGATAATATTTATTAAATAAATTAAAGATTTAGGAAGTTCTTCACTCAAGGGCATTTCCACTAAGCTCTGTGAATTCTTTGGCCCCTTCATGATCATTGTCTCCCACTTCTGACAATTAGGCATGTCTGTTAGCACTCAGCCAGCCTTTCTCATCTGAACACAGAACCAGCAAATCACTTCCTGGTTTTTGGCTGAATTCTTCTGAGGATGATATACATAGATACCATTCTAGAAGCAAAAGACAAGTTACTTCATTATGTACAGTATCTGCCTCAGAGATTAGGACTTAATTCTCTCAGAATCCCTCTTGAGAAAGGCTGATGTAGCCTAATACTTCTTGAGAGTTTTATAGTTTAACATACGTTGTATTTTTAATTTTCAACAGGCTTTGCTTTTGCTGTGAAACACCATGGCATTGTATGCCTTGATGCATCCTGAATTTATATTCCCTGAAGGACCCACTGTTTGTTTTTTTCTTTAATATGTTGACACCTGATTTGTTTAGACATCTTGTCCAACAGCTTCATCTTATAGAAAATTATCAGGAGTCATGAAGGAAGAAAAGAAAAGGCTCCAAGAGACAAAACCATGATGTCAGCCTTTCCTTATAGGGGAACCTTTCCTTATAGGGTCAGGCTCTCAGTCCTGACCCTTTAGCATTTGTTAGACACACTTCTGACCAGTCTGCATGTCTGGTTCCAGGTAGTGGCCAGGTAGGGTGTGAGTGTCCTGGACAAGCCGCAATGAAGTACCCAACGCCCTGGGCGTGGGTTCCGGGCCATGACTGGACTTCATTCAGGAAAGGGAGCCTCGGGGACTTCCCTGGTGGTCCAGTGGTTAAGACTTCGCTTTCCAATGCAGAGGATGCACGTTTGGTCCCTCGTGGGGGAGCTAAGATCCCACATGCCTCATGACCAACGTAAAACAGAAACAATATTTTAACAGATCCAATAAAGACTTTAAAAATGGTCCACATCAAAAAAAAGAAAAAGGAGCCTCATGGACTGTGGTGTAAGGCCCCAGGGCCATCAGTGCCAGGAAGGGACCGCTGACCTCAGGGGAGGACAGGGAGCAACCAAGAAGCATGTGTGTTGTTCAGCACTCTTCCTACAGAAGAGAGCAGCGCCCTCCTGCTGGGTGCACTGCAGGACAGCTGGACTCTGACCTGAGGCTGAGCTCATTCTCGACAGTACTGACGTTCTGGGATCCCTTATTCATAATTCTTATTGGCCCCTGTAATGTAAAAGACACCAAGAAAGTATTGAAGTATGTTTACATTTCGTGTGTTCCATTTTAAAAACAGTGTATGGCGTTTTAGCATTTTTTTTCCAGAAAAATTGGTGAAATGATGTTTTATGCATCCTAAGGTTAAGCTTTAGAGCCTGTAAGGATTCAGCTAAGCACTTTATTCCTCTGATTTACGGATTAATGAGGCTTCTCTCGTAGTACAATCTCTACTTCTGTTTGGATCCTATCTCAATAAATCCTGTTGCCCCAAATGTCCCCCCAGAAATCCATGCTGTAAGGAAAAAATTTACCATATTCAGCCAACTTTTGAAACAAAGGATCCAGCCTTCTGCATCATTGTGGAAAGACTCTCTGATGACCGTTCTCACCAGTTTTGTGACCGGAGTCAGGGTGGTGGAAGTGCCGCAAGCCTGGATTTCAGACCACACACAGCTCCTGATTATAAGCTCATGAGCTGTGCTGTCTGGGGCTGCCGCTCAGCACTGTCCTGCCACACTGTCTGAGCCATTCTGGACACCTGGCGTCTTTATAAGGAAAAAAAAAACCTTTCCCCCCTCATTTCTTTTAGTCTGTATGAATCATGCAGAGGAATTTTGATCTCTTCATTAACTGAAAAATAGTTTGCTGATAGACCTCACTACCAGCACTAAACAGAGGTGCTGACTGAGTCACTTTTTAAAGTCTGCGCAGTGGAAAGGTTTTGGAAGACTTCCCTGGTGATCCAGTGGATAAGAATCTGACTGCCAATTCAGGGCACCCGAGTTTGAGTCCCTGGTCTGAGAAGATCTCACATGCCTCAGGGCAACTAAGCCCATACACCACAATTGCTGAGCCCAAGCACCTAGAACCCGTGCTCTGCAACAAGAGAAGCCCCCACAGCGCGAAGCCTGGGCACTGCAGCTAGAGAAAGCTCACACGCAGCAATGAAGACGCAGCACAGCCAAAATAAACACTTGAGAAAAAAGGTTTTAGAAAGACATGTCTCTTTTTGAAAATGCCTCACAATATGCTTAAACTGCATGGTAAGGGGACTGATGAATCTGGGCCATTTTCCCCTTAAACTAATGTACAGAATTCAAACCCCTTGTTGGTGGCTGTCTTGCAGTCTGCTGATGGTTCTCTGCCATCCACAGGCATACCAACGTTTACAGATCCAGCAGCAGATGCTACAGGCCCAGCGGAACGTTTCCGGACCCATGAGACAACAGGAGCAGCAAGTAGGGGCCCCCGGACGGCAGAGCCGGGTCGCTGGCCACCCCCACCCCTGACGCTGTCATTGATGATGGCTCTGACATGCAGCCTCCCCTTTGGAAAGCCCCCGGGGTCACCTGGATTGGGGCGGAGGTGGGCCCAGGCGCCCCCCGCCCCCAGCCCCACTGACCGCACGTCATTGCCCGCCCCCATCCCGCAGGTTGCGCGCACAATCACTCACCTGCAGCAGCAGATCCAGCAGCACCAGCGCCAGCTGGCCCAGGCCCTGCTCGTGAAGCCGCCACCCCCGCCACCGCTGTCTCTGCACCCCTCTGCAGGCAAATCGGCCCTGGACAGCTTCCCGCCCCACCCCCAGGCCCCCGGGCTCCCCGAGCTGCAGACCAAAGAGCAGCAGTCCTCACCCAGCACCTTCGCCCCCTACCCTCTCGGTGAGTCAGGGCCTGTACCCACCGCGCGCCGTTGTAGCAGAACCCGAGCCAGGCTGTCTCAGGGCTCCTTCCAAGGGAGGGGCTCGCTGTCCGCGCAGAGCACGGGTTCTGTTGGGCCCAGAGGTGTTTTCAGCATAAAATTTCTGAAGATATTTACAGCCCCAGGCCAAGCTCACCCCCTCTGTGGTGGAGTCTGCACTTTGTTAAATATTTGGCCATGAATTAAGACTTAGACTGCAGAGAAGGCAATGGCAACCCACTCCAATGCTCTTGCCTGGAAAATCCCATGGACAGAGGAGCCTGGTAGGCTGCAGTCCATGGGGTCGCGAAGAGTCGGACACGACTGAGCGACTTCACTTTCACTTTTCACTTTCATGCATTGGAGAAGGAAATGGCACCCCACTCCAGTGTTCTTGCCTGGAGAATCCCAGAGACGGGGAAGTCTGGTGGGCTTCCGTCTATGGGGTCGCGCAGAGTCGGACACAACTGAAGTGACTTAGCAGCAGCAGGATTAGTGTTCTCATAGCCCCCCAGCCCCGGGACTGGCGCCCTCCTCCCGCAACTAGCACCTTGGCCCATGCTGGTTGTAGCACCTTGGCCCACGCTGGTTAGCACCGTGGTGCTGTTTCATAGTGTGTCCCCCAGCCCTGGGGGCTGGGGCGAGAGCTTCATCATCCCTGCAGGTGGGGGCTGCTGTGTAAGTTATTTTTATTTTTGTACATGTTCAGTGTGGGTTCTGTGGCCTCTCCCCTTGCCCTCAGGTCCACCCTATGAATTGTACAGAACGTGGCTGTTGAATTCAGGACTGTCCTTGCCTTTATACACATTAAACATATGTGAATCTTCAAAAAAAATAAAAGACTTAGATTGCTTCTCTAGGAGAGCTTTAGACAGTAATCCTTTGGAGGAAGAGCAGACATATCCTAATAGTGCTTTTCTCTTTAGCCGGACTGAACCCAAACATGAATGTCAGCAGCATGGACATGCCTGGTGGTTTGTCAGTGAAGGACCCGTCTCAGTCCCAGTCACGCCTCCCTCAATGGACTCACCCCAACCCAATGGATAACTTACCCGGTGCTGCTTCTCCGCTCGACCAGAACCCCAGCAAGCATGGTACGTCCGAGCTGAGGAGCCCCGCAGTCTGATCATGTCTGTTCTCCTTGCTCATCTTCCTCATTTCGTTACGTGTGTGTGTGTGTTTGTGTGTGCGGGTGCACACACACATGCACGCGCATTCTCAACCATGTCCACCTCTTTGCAACCCCATGGACTGTAGGCCACAAGGCTCCTCTGTCCATGGAATTTCCCAGGCTAGAGTACTAGAGTGGGTTGCTGCTTCCTCCTTCAGGGGGTCTTCCAGACCCAGGGATCGAACCCATGTCTCTCGTGTCCCCTACATTGGCAGGTGGATTCCTTACCACTGTGCCACCTGGGAAGCCCTTTGTTCTTACACTGCATTTCTATTCTGAGAATTCAGTGCTAAAATCTGAACAGAAAATATTTCAAAAGGCCAAGCCAAACAAACATGGAGATACAGAGTACTGGTAACCAGAGGGGAAGGGGTGAGTGGAAAGGGGATCAACTGTGTGGCAGTGGGTGGAAAACCAAGAGTTGGTGGTGAGCACCCTGTGATGTGGACAGAAGTTGAAATGCAGTGTCATAGTCGTGAAATTTAGATAATGTTAGAAACCAGTGTTACCTCAGTAAGGTAATAGAGAAAGAAGCCTGGCGGGCTGCAGTCCATTGGTTCTAAAGAGTCGGACATGACTTAGCAACTAACCAACAACAAAATATCTTTCATTCATTAGAGTATGTGAGACCCTATCTAGTCGATGACCAAATCTCTTGACGCTTCACCTTCGCGCCTTCGATACTATCTGAGAAGTAATTAAAAGTGCCCCAGAGCAGCGAAGAATACAGGTCATGGCTGCACACTTGTAACGTATATCTGTATCTTCAACCAAAAATTTGCCTGAAGGATATTTTTTTCAATAAAATGATTAAATGCAATAGGAAAATCTAATGCTTAGAAAAGATAAAAAGCAAAAATGCTAATAACCATGGAATTCCCTGGAGGTCCAGTGGTTAGAACTGGACACTTTCACTGTCTGGGCCCAGGTTCAGGGGTCACTGAACCTGTCTTTTCACTGTCTTGGTCCAGGAACAAAGATCCCACAAGCTGCTCAGCCAAAAAAAGAAAATGATAATAACCATAGGCGGTGATCTCACTGTTAAGCGTTGAACTTAGCTCTTAATTTCCTGGTAGCATAAACAACAAAGGAAATTTGATAGGGAACATAATTCTCTCTTGATATAAAGCACTCTAAAAAGAAAAAACTCTCCCTGATGATTAGTTCTACAGGAAAATTACCACATGCTATCCGGGTACTTTCCTTGGAGGAGAGCGCTCAGTCGCCCGGGGAGGTAGGGTTGGGCCTCCAAGGCCACAGAGAGGCCAGCAGACGAGGGGAGGGGTGCGGACGACAGCAAGGACAACAGCTGACCACGGACGCTCACTGGTTGTCCCCAGAGAGCCCCACCATGGTGTGGGTGTGCATTTATCGAGAATTCCCAATGACAAACTGAAGGAGTTCTTAAAGAGTGTGTCTTTCCAGGTCGAGTTTGGGCTGGCGGATATAGTCACTTCCCCTGGAGAGTGCTGGCCGCAGGGAGGCTGGCGGGGGGGCAAGGCCCAGCCCAGGGGCCGGGGTGCCCCGTTCACTCTGCTCTTTGTTTCCTGCCCTCCCTCCAGGTGCTATCCCTGGAGGTCTGAGCATCGGACCTCCAGCCAAGTCCTCCATCGACGACTCCTACGGCCGGTACGATTTAATCCAGAGCAGCGAGTCACCAGCCAGCCCTCCTGTAGCTGTTCCCCATAGCTGGTCACGTGCCAAATCTGACAGTGATAAAATCTCAAATGGCTCCAGCATCAACTGGCCCCCAGGTAAGAGCGTGCAGCGGTTCCGTGCAGCAGCAGGGCTTGAGCCAAGCCCGAGAGGGTGATGAGGCCCGAGGGAAGCCAGGACCCAAGCTCAGGATCCTGGGAGCACGAACCCCATGTCTCTGGCTTTTTCACTGGCAGTCCCTTCACAGATAAATCGCGGGTGTCGTTGGCATCACAGGCTCTTCTGTAGCCCTCAGACCCATGGAGGAGAGGTGGGGAGGGATTGCTGTGTTCCATCCGCTCAGAGTGTGTCCAGGCTTCATACTCCTGTGTGAGCACTCTTTTAGTTTAGTTCTGATACTTCGTTTGCTCCGAAGAACTGATGCTTTACTGAAGGAAGTCTAAAGTGTGCCTGTGAATTAGCAGACTGTAAACATTTCTGTAAATTGTCATGAAGCAACATGAAGGTGCTCTAATACTCACATATTTGGAATTTTTCAGAATTCCATCCTGGAGTTCCCTGGAAAGGACTTCAGAACATAGATCCGGAGAATGACCCCGACGTCACTCCTGGAAGTGTCCCCACCGGGCCCACCATCAACACCACCATACAGGATGTCAACCGCTACCTCCTCAAGAGTGGAGGTGAGGGGGTGCACCGTCAGCATCTGTGTGATGGCCTCTGTGCAGGCGTTCTGCTCCGGGGCAGCGGGCCGCTATGGGAGGTGAGGTGGGGGTGTGTCAGGCATGTCTGATGGGGACCCTCTCTCGCCATCAGACGCAGCGTAAGGAGAAGTTGCCTAGTGCTTATGGGAAAATGGAGATAGCTTTGGGCTCCGTGGCCCTGCTGGATTTATTACAACACTGTGCTTATACACCCTGTGTTTTAAAATAACAATGTTAGCCATCAAGCTTTTTAAGGAAAAGGTTTCCACTTGAAATCTCTTTGAACTGGAAGTGAATTGGCCATTTACTCATCCATTTCAGCCAATTTTTCCTTTCCTCAAAATGTCTGGTAAAAAGACTGAAGTCATGCCCCAGGACCTTTTTCCTGGCACAAACTCCTGATGCTATAACGCTTGGCACACCCTGTTTAGGCTTGAGGATCCAGTTGGCAGAAGTGATGAGCTGAGCCATGAGGTTACAGAACATAAATGCAGATTCAGTTGCAGAACTGAGGAGGGTGGTAGCTCGCCTTCCCTGGAGGCCTGCAGGTGAAGATGCTCTGTGAGTGCCCCTGCTGACAGACCTCTCTCCTCAGCGTTCTAGTGGCAGAAAGAATAGCCAGCTTACCCGAGATGCTCAGCACTAGCAAGGCCACTCGGGTATTTCCCAAAACGTTAGTTTAGGTTTCCGGCTAACATATGGCCTGTGGGGAGAGGCCTCCTTGTCAGTGGTTCTTTGAAGTGATAGGATTCCATGGATGCCTGTGGCTCAGGTTGGAGGGCAGCGTAGACCTCCGCCTTCCCATCTATGCAGGGCATTCCTGTGGCGAGGCAGCAGTGTCTCAGCAGGGCGGTTGCAGGCCTCCCCGCGGCTGGGGACGGATGAGTGAGACAGAGGGGCTCGAGGCTATGGGACCTGGAGCCTGTTTGAGGTGGTGGGGGTCAGCGCCCCTCAGGACGCTGCGTGTGGCTGCAGGGCTGTGCTGAGCAAAGGGGTGACTCGGTGTGTGTGGGCTTGTGGAGGGTGGGCGAACGTGCCCACCCGGGCAGTAGAAGACCTTAGCAAGAGTCAAGGCGGCTCGGCGCAGAGTGGAGCTTCCTGGCCAGTGTCCAGTGCCAGCCCAGGGCCCCCGGCACCTGGGGCACACAGGCCATCTCCTCCTTTGCACGCGTGTGCCGTGACGCAACACGGACGTCCTGGAGGGCAGGGGAGTCCTGAGGGCAGAGCTGGGCAATCGAGACAGACATCAGGGCAGAGGGAAGCTAAGCTCCAGGGCCCTGGCAGAAATGGGACATCAGCAGGACAGAGCCTCTAGTGGCCCTGTGAGACCCAAGGGCGAGTCCCAGGCAGCTCCACTGCAAGACCAGGCCTCGCCCGGGAAAGGGCCCCCACCTCCTGGTGTTATCTGAGAGGAGGGAAGAAGGAACGCATCTCTATGTAGAACCTGTTACAGAAAGCCCCATGGCCGCAGGGCCAGGAGTAAACGGCCACGGCCAGACCCCGCTGGCCGCCTCTCTCCGGGACCCACTTGTGTTCCCCGCACACGAGGGGCTTCAGGCACCCCGGGGACTGAGCTCGCTCAGGGCCCAGCCACAAAAGGCTGCCGTATTCTTGAGTGATTAGCTTAATCTAAAATACAGAGGGAAAAACATTGAGAAAATATGCCCTGGAAGGAAAAAGAGTAAGAAATGCCACTAACCTCTTTGATGTTGGCTTATTTATTTTACATGTTCTTAATGGAATTTTCTGTTTTCTTTTATTGAGTACCTAAGGTGTTGGAGTTTTATTTACATTTTTGGTTTTTATTTTCATTGGTGTTAAGCTCTGATTTGGTATTAAAAATTCACGTTAGCTGGGTATTTGTTTGGCTGTTATTTACAGTGCTAACCATTATGAGGTGAATATTAGCCAGATGGTAATATGCAGTTGTGCCATTGCCTGACAAATTGATACTAAAAAGGAAAATTAGCCATCATTTTATGGGATAGATTCCACTATTGCACTAAAAATGTCAAAACTAGAACACTGTTAAAACCCAGGTGCTGGGTTAAAACCATTAACTATATAGTTAAAACCATTAACTATAAAAGAAGTACCATGTTGGGTTAAATAGTCTATAATTTGGAATCTCGAGTTGATTGCATTTTGTTGGTAAAGAGAAGCAGAGGGTTTAGGAGCTAAGGTTAGGTTGTCAGTAGAGCTGACATCTTTTAAAATCGAAGACCTGCAGATACATTCTCACGATCATCAGTTCTGGTGCCCTCTTTTGAGGAGGTCAGTTACAGCAGGGCCGCCGTGAACAGCCGTGCAAGTTGTAGACTGCACAAGCCAGGGTGGTGCCACACCCCTGATAGTCCCTGTGAAAGATACTCCTGAGGTTGTTCAGCGCACTGTCCCAGCTGGGGCCCTGCATCAGGGGCCCCATGTCTTTTGAGATTCTGTTCATGGTGGTAAACTTGACTACCAGCCTGCTCCGTGCCCCTGTCCCCTGCCCCAGCCAGCTTGCACACACCAGCCAAGTCACTTCCCAAGTCAGAAGAGCTCTGGTCCAGCCTGCTTTTAGCACACTGGCACCCCTGCTTCATCTTTCCCTTCCTCTGCTTCCTGCTTTCCTCAGAGAACAGACCTGCTGACCTGGAAACAGCACCAGCGGGGGTGCTTGGGGGGGGGCTCCCCATCAGCCTCTCTCTCAGGATAGGAACAGGGTCCTCAACAGCAAGAGGTGCAAGTCTGGAGACCCAGTGGCTCACGCTGACACAGTTGCGAGGACACGTTTCTCCTGGGTCTTCCTGTATTCAAGAGAGAAATACGAATCTAGGCAAGGAGTCAGGGAAAGTACTGATCTCTTTTGAGCAAAATCTGTAACAAAAAACTTGGAGTTTTGTTTCATTTTATTCAGTTTTGTAGGTATTGTTGGAGGTATGAAAAGATGGAGGTGGGCCCTGAGTTTTTATTTTTATCTTACCTGGAAGGAGAAATCCATGGGATCCTTCCAAACCCTGACGTGTTGTTGAAAACACTCTGTGGTCATTCTCTTCCCTCCAGCTTCCTGGCCTCCAACACCCCGCACCCCAGCCCCTTCTCCAGGGCCTCTCACAAGGCCCAGGCACCCCAAGGCACAGTGCGCCTGTGTCTTCCCATCCTCACTGTGGTCGTGGCCCCATCACGCGCTCATTTCCCCACCGTTTCCATAAATACAGCCTCGGAGATTGCTTCTCGGGCGTTAGGACTCTTCCCCTCCCCCCCCGCCCCGGAGCTGAGTGGCTCGCCCCACAGGCCTGTGCTCGCCTTTCTTAGAGTGCCGCCTTTGGTTCTGCAGGGTCCTCCCCACCATCATCTCAGAATGCCACGCTGCCTTCCTCGAGTGCCTGGCCGCTCGCTGCCTCCGGCTACAGTCGCTCTTTCAGCAGCCTTGCGCCCGCTCCTAGTGTTGCAGGTACGCACCTGGCCTCTCGACGTGCAGGTAGCCTTTTCTTTCTTTCCCCAAACAAAACTGATGGCCTGGCTTTTCCTGGTGGTCTGTCTGCTCCCCTCCAAGCTGGGAGGCCGCATGGAGCGATGGAGAGTGAGCCCGAACTTTGCCGAGCAGCCGTGGGGCCTCGGGCACCACTCACCCCATCTCCGGGAAGTGGGAATGGTGACACCTCCTATCGCAAAGATCCTGGGGTTGTAGAAGCTCCCCAGCGCAAGACGCACCATAGCTACTGCCTAAACGTATCTGCTTCCCCCCGCCCCTCCCACTTCCCCGCAACCACCCTCTTATGACCACAAAACCAGGGGTGTATAAAACTCACAGACTTGAAGGCAGCAGCTGCTGGGAATTACTGTTATCTGCATTGGCCACCGGGGACCAGGAGGCCCCAGAAGCCCCAAGCTTAACTCCCATCGCTCAGATCCATGCGGTGCCTGGGTTATTCCTCTCTCACTATAGGCTTTACAAGTCTTTCCAGTAAGACATTTCTTTTAGGCTTAAAGGAGAATTGAGAATTAATTTGTTTGTCATAACACCTCTGAAGGAATTTTTACCTGGAAATGTTAAGACAAGGATATAAAGAGATGTGGACACACATACAATGTGGACAGGTTTGCAAAAAGATGTGGAATTTAAGGAAAGAGAGTTTGTTGTTTATAAATTTCTTCAACTGCGTTTCTGCATTCCACCAACCTTCTTGTCCAGCTGTTGTTTAAACCAGCGTCAAAATGCTGTAGGAATTCTCTTTATACCAGTGCCTCGGGGAGAAAGTAGTTCCACTGTAATTTGGCATCTTATTTAAAAAAGAGAGCAAGAGCTTCTGGATTATTTCTAGTCCTTCTAATGTTTATCCTCTCTCATATTTACAAAGGGGATGTATTAGGCCATTAATACTTCCCAGTCATTTGGCAAAAGAGATGAGCAAACAAAACCATCCTCCATTATCTTGGGCCATTTTTTTCTGGCGTTTCAGTTTTTCTGATCAGGGACTCCTGTGCTCAGATGAGCCTTGGTTGTCATGAAGCTGCAGTTGGCTCCCGGCGGCCAGGGTGGAAGGGGCGCCCCCCACGGAGTTGGTGCCCGCCTGGCACTGCAGCGCAGGCCCAGGAGCAGGGCGATGGCAGCCACCCTGCCTGCTGCCCTCAGCACGCTGGGCTCCCGAGGCGTCTGTGTGGCAGGTCCCCGGGCACAGGAGGGGCCAGGGCTGGCAGTCATCGCGGGCTTTGTTTGTTTTTTTTCCGCAAAGAGCCTTAAAGCAGGCTTTCCCCAGCCAAGGTGCCCAGATGCCAATCCTTGGGCCACCTGGCCCACACCCACTTCTGCAGGTACAGAGAGTGAGTCTTGAAGCTGTGCCCACTTCTGCAGGTACAGAGAGTGAGTCTTGAAGCTGTGAAGGTGTGCCGGGAGATGCAAGTTCAGGCGGGTTATGTCAAAGGGCGCGTTGCTCTGATAGGAAACTGACACCTAAAGAAATAGCACAAAGGACACACACACACACACACACACACACACACACACACACACACACACACACACACACACACACACACACACACACACACACGTATATATGTGAGGGCCTCGATCTTGACTAATTTGATACATGATAAGACATGTCCCAGCAGAATTTGTGAAATTAGCTTTAGCACTGAACCACAAAAAAGTGCTATTTTTTCTGGTGAGCTCATGTCTGACGCATGTAGCAAATTGAGTATCAGCAATCCTGGCAGGATCTATACAGCCACTGGCAGACTGTGCCCCTGGGCAAAAATTCAGAGGAGTGCCCTCTGTCCTCACGTCGGGGGCTTGACTGGGTGCCTCCTGCGGGCCCCACAGTCTGCTGCAGCCAGAGCTCTCCTGGCATGAGTCCCCATGAGACTTCTCGGTCTCAAGAATACCCGTGCTCCATTTCTCCGCCTTTCTAGGTAAGCTGTCAGACATCAAATCGACGTGGTCCTCTGGCTCTGCCTCCCACACGCAAGCCTCCCTGTCTCACGAACTGTGGAAGGTGCCCAGAAACACTACTGCACCCACAAGGCCCCCGCCAGGGCTAACCAACCCCAAGCCTTCCTCCGCCTGGGGAGCCAGTCCCCTCGGCTGGACCAGCTCTTACTCCTCGGGTACGCGTCCGTTCTCGCGTCCAGAAGGGCGAGGGGTGGGAGTCTCCGTGCCTAACCCACTTTCCCCTTAGGGAAGGTAGGTGCCTGCCGTATCGTCCTGCAGCTTCTTCAGAAGGACCCTCAGAGGGCTGAGGGGGGCCAGCGCACCGAGCTCTCGGGGATTGTCTGGCCCCAGGCTCTGCTGCCCGTGTTTCGGCACCAGCCCTGGGTGTTAGCATACACAGCTTTGCTCTGAGCCAGGAGGCCCCAGGGGTCTCGGCACCCGCCGAGGGGCCGCACTGGGCCCTCAGAGAGGCCCGTCCACCCAGCATGAAGGACTCCATGTGCAGTGTGAGCGTGCCGCCCTGTCCCAGGGGGCTTCCTCGGGCCCCCCTGAACTGCCAGGATGAGGGGGTGCACAGGGAATTTACGACCCTGAGAGTGAAGCCAGCCTGCGAGTCTGCATTGTTTTGCCAGCAAGTGGGGTTTGAGAGCATTGCTTCTGAAGTTGAGGCGGGCGGGGGACGGGGGGAGACCAAGACTTCCGGGCAGTTCTCGAGTCCCTGCCGCCACACCCACCCCTGAGGGCCTGCAGGGACCCCGAGTCTGGGTTGGTTTCCAGGGGTGAGAAGGCTGGAAGCGCAGGCTTTTTGCGAGCCGCCTGTGGGGGCGGGGGGCGCTGGGGAGAGCGGTCTGACTCGGCGCAGCCTTGGTGACCGGCTTCCCCCCTGGGCGCAGGTTCCGCCTGGAGTACCGACGCCTCAGGAAGGACAAGCAGCTGGCTCGTTCTCCGCAACCTCACACCCCAGGTACAGGCAGCTGGTGGGGGTATGCAGGCCCAAGGGCCTTGTCCATAACCCGAGGCCGCGCTCAGTCCGCAGGCAGTGCGGGCAGCGGTGGTCATTTAACCGTGTTCTGGTGGACTGTTACTTTTCACCTCTCTGAGGCTTGAAGAGTGCACCCTGATAACCAGAGCGGCTCACCCTCACCTGCACCGGCTCCAGGACGATGTGGCCTGTGCCCGTGTGCCCAGGCTCCGGGACCGCGAGGCTCGGGGTGAAGCGCTCTGGTGAGGGGGTGGTCAGAGCTGTAGCAGGTTTTCCTCCTCCTCTTGACCGCCCAGCTCACGAGCTAGAGGGAAATGTCCAAGACTGTAAATTACACGGTAAATGGCAAGGTGCACAAGGTTAACATCACAGTCAGTATATGAAGCCCTCTTAAGACAGACATCGTCCTGGGGTACTGTGGACCCAGGTTTCATAAAGCTCGTCTTTGAAGTGCGGAGTGACGACCTCCCAGGACTAGCATGACCGCCCTTCCTCTTCCTCACTCAGATCGACGGCTCCACCCTGCGGACGCTGTGCCTGCAGCATGGGCCCCTCATCACATTCCACCTGAACCTGACGCAGGGCAACGCCGTGGTCCGCTACAGCTCCAAGGAGGAAGCCGCCAAGGCCCAGAAGTCCCTGCACATGTATGTCCCTCCCCTGCCCCGCGCCACCCTGTCCGCAGCCCACGGTGCTCGGCCTGGGCCTTGGGAGAGTCCTGGGGCCTCCGAGGCACAGCAAGCTCCAGTGTGGCAGAGTGTGGGCAGGGTCACCTCCCCCCAGGACTCTTCTCGGCTTGCACACAACTGCCTTTTGCTGTGTCCTCACATCGCCCCGTCTGAGTGTGTCCCGACTTCCTCTCCTTCTAGGGACAGTGGTCCAAGTGAATTAGGGCCACCCTCGTGACCTCGAGCGTGTGTGCTCTCAGTCACGCCCAACTCTTAGCATCCCCATGGACGATAGCCCTCTAGGCTCCTCTGTCCATGGATTCTCCAGGCAAGGATGCTGGAGTGGGTTGCCACTTCTTACTTCAGTGCTCTTCCCGACCCAGAGATCGAACCCACATCTCTTGAGTCTCCTGCATTGACAGGTGGATTCTTGATCAAAAGCACATCTTGCCTCAGTTCACTCTTTAAAGACTCTCTCCAAACACAGGCACAGTGAGATCTCGGGGCTTAGGATTTCAACATACGAATTTGAAGGGACACAATTCACCCCATGAGAGGTGTCTCGTGACATGTCAGTTTCTTCTGCTGTCAAAGTGCCAAGACTCTGCCCCTCCCCCCCACCCCCCCACCCCAGAGGGAGAGGGTCGCCAGGAGAGCGCATGTAGACCCAGGGATGAAAGAAGCTTCTCTCCACGGATGTCCCCAGGCATGCAACATGGTGGTGCCCACTCCTGGGCCCAGTAGTGTTCCCTGCAGCCGACTCCTCTCCCCTGATTAGAGGACTTCCGATAAGATGTTGTGAGTAGGCCTTTCAGCAGTGTCACTTGAGGTGTGGGCCCCAGAAATGGGTCATTCCTGTTTTCAGCCCAGGGAGAACCGCACTGGTCCTAAATGCTGCCCACCTTCGGTGGTCCACTCACTCACGTCCTTAAGAATGTGCTCTCGATACCACCACCACACAGCTGCTAGAAATACAAAACAAGGGGAAAGCTCGTGCTCTGGCCTTGGAGACAGCAGCAGTAAAGTGTGAACTGCAGGACTTTTTCTGGGTGGCCTGTGACATGAAGCCTCCAGCTGTCCTTTTCCCGTTTTAGAGAAACAGCAGCTCGGGAAAGCCAACAAGGGGGACCCAGGAAGACGCACGGCTGCTCTGCTGGTGTGGCCCCCGGCCTGCTCTCTGTCTGTGTGTTTTTTTGAGTTTTTGTTTTGTTTTGAGAGATAACTGATGCTCAGCTGCAGTGTGTCAGTTGAGAGGTGTGCGCCTGTTGTCCTGACACATTTCTGTAACTGCCACAGGCTCACCACCGTGTGAGCTAACAGGACATCAGGGCACGTGATTATTCCTTCCCATTTGTAGTTGAAACATTTAAGATCTGCTCTGTTAGCAACTTTGACATAAACAATACATAACGGTTAACCGTGGTCACCAGGCTGTACCTTACCTCCCCAGAACTTCGTCATCTTCTCACCGGACGTCTGTACCCTTTGACCAGCATCTCCCATTTCCCCACCCACAGCTGCTGGAAGCTACCATTCTACTCCCGAACGTCTCTACAAGTTGGGCTTTTTTGGGGTTCCAAATAAAATACATTGTGCAGTATTTATCTGATCTTTGACTTATCTCACTTAGCATAAGGTCCTCAGGATTAATTAATTAATTAATCTCACCTTTTCTTTGTTGACTACTAGGTTGTTTGCATATAGTGACTATCTATAAATAATGCTGTAGTTAAACATGGGAGTTCAGGTATCTATTTGTATCTCTGTTCTGTCAGTTATAACGTCTCCCTTTCATTTCTGATTTTGTGTCCTCTTTTTTTTCTTGGTTAGTCTAGGTAAAGATTTGTCAAGTTTGTGTTATCTTTTCCAAAACACCCGCTCTTACTTCCGTTGCTGTCCTGCCTTTTCAGGTGTGTTCTGGGAAACACTACCATCTTGGCCGAGTTCGCTGGCGAAGAAGAAGTGAACCGTTTCTTAGCCCAAGGGCAAGCACTGCCACCCACCTCCAGCTGGCAGCCCAGCCCGGGGACCAGCCAGACGCGGCTGGGCGCCTCGGGCAGCGCCCACGGCCTGGTGCGGAGCGACGCCGGCCACTGGAACGCCCCGGGCCTGGCCGGCAAAGGGGGCAGCGACCTGCTGTGGGGCGGGGTCCCCCAGTACTCGAGCAGCCTATGGGGCCCCCCCAGCAGCGACGACGGCAGGGTCATCGGAAGCCCCACCCCGCTGAACACGCTGCTCCCTGGCGACCTTCTCAGCGGGGAGTCCATCTAGCCCCCGGGGGCTCCAGGAGGACACGCTGACCCTCCCCAGCCCGGGCGTTGCTGAGGACCCCGCCCGACCGGAGCCGCCCGGCAGCCCTTTCGAGTACCTCTGTCCAGTACTGAAGACGAACCTTGGCCTCACGCAGGCCTTGCGAACTGTCCCCGAGACAGTGCGGCCGCGCCGGGTCAGCGTCACGTATCATGACAGGATGCTTCTCACAGCTTTTTATTTGGTGTCGTCTTACGTTGTACGGTGTGTTGTCATTTTGATTTTTTTTTTTTTAAGTATAAAAGCTGCTTAGAATAGTTCTATCATGAAGGGCACTTTTCAGATTGTGGGCTGGAAAGGGTTATTTTATCGAGGGAGGGGTGGGGAGGGAGGGAGGGAGACGAGAAAGCCTATTTAAAACGAGCCTGTGACGATTATGCACATTACCAGAGGCGGGCCCCGTAATCAGGGGGAGCTGGCGTCCACCACTGGGACGCGGTCCCGGCGGCCCCGACCGGGAGCCGAGCGGAAGGAGCGGTCTGTGATCTGTTCTCTGTTCCCACGGATCCGCCTATGCACATTACCCTTGTTTCATTACTTTTTCATGTCATTTTTTTTAATCCCAAAAAAAAAATATTTTTTAAAAGTTTAAAAAAAAAAAGACATATCAAACATGCAAATACTTGAATCCAGCAGGCCAATAATGAAATGTGAACACTTTCTAATTCTACACTTCCAGGTTGAGATCAGTACGCAGAAACAGGCTCTAGGAAACATTTCTAAGTTCACAGCCTATATGTGTGTGTGTGTGTGTGTGTTGAAACCAGCGTGTGTGTGTGCATGTGCGTGCGTGCCTGCGCACTTTCTGTGTTTGTGTGTTAAGTGTGTGAGGGATGTAACTGTGGGTTTTCCCTTTTATTCAGTATGTGCTTTTTTTTGTTTTTTTTTTTTTCGCATTGGTCAAATGTTTATTGTTTATTATTAGCTTCTAACTTTGCACTGAGTGTCCCTGCCCTTCCTCTAACTAATCCTATAGGTTCAAGAAAATTCAGAGGACAGGGCTGGTGACAATTCATGTGTAAATGTTTACTCAAGGACTCTGTTAATTGCGTTTAAAAAAATTACAGTGTATATCTCTGGAGAAATAATATGTATACCTACCTTTAGCAGCTTTTTATCGTGGACTAATGCAAGAAAATTATTACCAGAGTATTGCACCATTTTTCCATTTGGGATATAAAGTTAAAGAGAAAAAAGAAAAAAAAAAAAAAAACTCGCTGAACTGTGGCCATAGATACTTGTAGAGGATGGATGGTTCCTCGAGAGGAACGGAGACAAGCACTTGGGCGTGGGTTGTGACTGCTTTCGTCGGAGCCGGTGGTGAGGGCTCCCACCTGTTTACAGACCTTTTTTTTTTTTTTTTCTCCTTCAGACTTTAAAATAAAAATAAAAAATTTTAAAAAGGAATTTAAAGAAAAAAAAAAGACTTCTGTCGTAAAGAAACCTATTTTCAGAACGCAGATCCGCTACTTCAGAGCTCTGGGATTGAACAGTGTTGTTTCCCCCTCCGGCCATCGTCGTGGACTCTTGTCGACTGTCCCTTTCGTCGAGGTGACGAGTTGTGGTCACTGTCTTGCACACGCGGACGCGCTCTCAGGAAAACCAGGGTTCCCGAGGGACAGCTCCACACCATTTCATGTATTTTGTCACCCAACTCCTAGCACTGAAGATGTTATTAAAAAAATAATAATAAAAAATAAAGGAAAAAAATAAGAAAAAAGAGGAAAAAAAAAACACAAAGAAGAAAGATACCTAATCTCTAACGTGTAGCAGTTACGTATGTACCAAATAATGGACTCAAAGGAAATAGATGTTCGAAGAGTGCTTTATATATTAAAAATTGCTTTATGTTTTAAAAAGATGATCAAGGTTTTGATTGTTTTGCAAGAAAGAAAGACAATGGTGTAACATACCCTCAAGTATGTTTAAAAAAAAAAATATATGAACATGTGCTCCCTGCCTGCTTGATCAGGAAACTTGTGCATTACATTTTTTTTAATTAGCTTTTTAATGGTTTTATCAAAACAAAACAAAAAAGCAAAAAACAGTTTAAAAAAAAGACAAAAAAGGAAAAGAAAAAAAAAAGTTTCTGCAAAATTGCAGATCAACAAAAGCTGGTTTTATAGAGGATCATGAACTATGCACAAACTGGTTCAAGACTTTTTTCTCAAGTTCAGTAGTGTATTTAGCTAAACAGACCTTCCTCAGAGTAAGCGCATCTCATTTGCCATTACATGCGCTCTGTATATTTGATGTACACATACCCACATATGTACACCAAATATACGTGCGTGCGTGCCCGTGTGCACCCAGACATACAGCTTCCCATGCTGCATTTAGCATCAAGTTGTAGAAAACTGATATTTTTTAATTGGGGGTGGAAGTAAAGAATCTCTCCATTTTTGTTGGTTTTTTTTGGTTAGGGTGGGATTTGTTGGGGTTTTTTTTTTTTTTTTTTGACCTTTTATTTTGAATTAAAGACGTCTGTAACTCTGAGATTAAAAGACAAGTTTGTGGCTTTTAATGTTTTTCCTCATAGAATGTGATTGTTGAAGAAAATGCACCGAAAGTTGCTTTCAAAAGTACAATGCTTTGTTGAATCTTAATAAATGGCAATTCTTTTTTTCTTGGCTGTTTGAATAAATGTGTTTTTAATTTTTATTTTTCAAAGAGGGATGTCATCTATATTCACTGTGTATGTTTTGGGAGAGAGAGCTGTCCTACTGTGTGTAAGAAATGCCCTGTGTCTTTTTATGCTATCCTCGAAAGTTTACATATGTAAGTAGGTACACTCCATGTTTCAGTCGCCTGACCTGGGATTTTACCATTTGTTTTGGGATGTTGCAGTCAACACCGAGATCGTATTACAAGTCGTTGAGGTGCAGTAGAGCCTAGGGGCTCCCTGACAGCTGCCCGCCTGGACCCACCCGCTCCATCCAGGAACCAGCACCGTCTGGGGCAACCGTGGCATGTGGCCGCAGCTCAGGACTGCTGCTCGCTCTCACCCGTGACCCAGTTTGGGCGTCAGAAATATCCAAAGAGGGCTTCCCTGGTGGCTCAGTGGTTAAGAATCCAGCTGCCAACGCAGGAGACGGGTTCAATCCCTGATCCAGGAAGATCCACATGCCGAGGAGCAGCTATTCCCATGAGCTGCAGCTACTGAGCCTGTGCTCTAGGGCCCAGGGACCGCAGCTATTGAGCGCAGGCGCCGCGACTGTTGAAGCCCACGGGCCATGAGCATGTGCTCCACGACGATGAGAAATCTGAGCACTGCAACTAGAGAGCAGCCCCTGCTCGCCACAGCTAGAGAAAAGCCCGAGCAGCAATGAAAATTCGGCACAGCTAAAAATAAATAATTTTTTTAAAAAAGAAATATTCAGAGAGAAAAGAATAGTGAAGTTCTTTTGTTGGTCGTAGAAGAGCTGACTCATTTGAAAAGACCCTAATGCTGGGGAAGATTGAGGGCAGGAGGAGGACAGGACGACAGGATGAGGTGGTTGGATGGCATCACCGACTCAAAGGATGTGGGTTTGGGTAAACTCTGGGAGTTGGTGATGGACAGGGAGGCCTGGTGTACTGCAGTTCATGGGGTCACAAAGAGTTGGACACGACTGAGGGACTGAACTGAACTGAGCGGAAACATTCTTTTGTTTCAGTAAAGTAGCCTTAACTTTTTTTTCTAAGTTGGTTTTTTTTTTTTTTTTTTTTTTTTTTGGCTACAGACCATTTTTAAAGTCTTTATTGACTCTGTTAAAATATTTCTTCTGTTCTATGTTTTGGTTTCCTGACCGAGAGACATGTGGGATCTTAGTTCCCCAACCAAGGGTCGAACCTGCACCCCCTGCATTGAAGGGGAAGTCTTAACCGCTGGCCCTCCAGGGAAGCCCCAGCCTTAGCTAACTGCATAGCGTCTTGTACGAGGACCGCTGTAGTGTCGGCATTGGCTACAGCAGCAGCAGCCTCTCCCCATGGGCTCCAGGCCGCAGTCAGGAGCCCGAGCACATGGCGCTGGCTCCCAGGTCCACCCCAGGATCGCCTGCCACGACCATAAGTAAGTTCAGCGCCAGTTCTCCTATCTCATCGGGATTGTGAAGATACCCTCTTGAAGACCAGCCTAAACGTCCTTTGCGACTTCTGCTCAGAGACCAATGGAGCGAGTGTCTTTTTCTCTCTTATACTCCTAGGGGCCTCGGCCACATTTTACTGAGAAGACAGGACCCAGGTTGGCTCCGGAGGTCAAGACGGCAAGCTCCTGGCTCTGACCAGCCTCTCTAGAAGACCCAGGAGGAGGGCACGGGAGGACCAGCGTCAGGAGAAGAAAGGCTAGAAGAAGAGTGAAGCTCAGAACATGGACGACCAGAACACACGCGACATCCTGAACTTGTGTAAACCTGGAGGCCGCGGCTCCGCCGGGACCTCGAGCCAGCCCTTCCCCAGCTGTTCACCCAATCCCCTGTGAGTCCAGGGTCACCACAGGGGAGCAAACCATCCCAGCGTCTGCTCACTGGAGAACAAGCCCAGTGCCACCGGGACGGCCGAAGATGAGGCAGACTTCCTGGAGGAGGTGGCTCTTTCCTCCTAAGCCCAGGGCAAAAGGACAGGTGGGAGCACAGAGGAAGATGAGTGGCTGCCTCATGGCCTGAAGCAGGGGCGGGTCCTGGTACCCACGGGTGAAGAGGAGGCTTAGTGTCTGGAATCAAGAGAAAAATTCGAGGCTCAAAACTGTACTTTTTCTTTAACTCATTCTGGCAGCACCGTGGGAGAAGGCAAAGAAGGCAGGATGCTCAGCAGGGAGAAGCCTGGTGTGTGGAGAAGGGACTTCTGAATGGGGAGCCAGGAAGGAGCCGCCTTGGCCAGCCCAGATTCTAATGACATAGCCACAAGACCCGAGGAGCTGAGTGTGCATTCACTGAGACAGGAAGGTGTTTCGAGAAGATTCTTTGAAAAGAGCACATGGGGTGGATCAGGAAGAAGTCACAGGAGTCGTGGTGGAAACATGCAGTTAACTTACTAGCTTCCACACATCCGCTCTCCCAGCAGAAGCACTGTCAACTGGCTTTGCATGTGTGAGTGGTGAGCTCAGTCATGTCTGACTCTCTGCACCCCCATGGACTGTAACCTGCCAGGCTCCTCTGTCCATGGCCTCCAGGGGAGTCTTCCCAATCCAGGGATCAAACCCACACCTCCCGCCTTGGCAGGCAGTTTCTTACCACTCCCACCACCTGGGAAAACTGACCCCTGAAAGGCAGTCCCACACTCCAGGTGTGGCCCAGGAACCTGGCTCTCCAGTCACCGTGAAATCCAGAAGCTTGTTTCCAAACACCTCCCACCCTGCCCCGAAGTGCACAGAAGCTTTGGGCTTAAGCGACATTTCAGATGCTGGTTCTCCATCCTGACTGCATGTCAGAATTATCCAGAAATTTCTTAAAATTCCAGAACCCAGGGCATATCCTAAACCCATTCCACCAGAGCCTCTGGTCGAGTGTCCAGGCACCAGGGTCTTGAAATCTCCCCGGTTAATTCCATTGAGCGGCCAAGGCAGAGACGGTGTTCTCAGAGGGAGCCTGTCGGTAGGCCGAGACTGTCGGCCTCCCACCCGTTGGGATTCAGCCACTTGCAAGAGCCCAGTGGGTCTCATTCGGCAGTTTACGCTTTTTTTCTTTTTTAAAGCAAACCTGCTATGTGCCAGGCATAGTGCTAAGCACTACGTGGGACTGTGTCCATTGTTCCAACAACCTCAAAAGGTGAGGAACAGGGATGGGGAGAGACTGGGAGAGGTTACAGAATGTGCCCAAGGCCATGAGCTGATGAGCATCAAACCCAGGCCCCTCTGATCCACATCCTTGCTCGGTCAGGGCCCCTCGAGCTCCGTCACAGAATATTACAGCTGGAGGACCTTGAGGCCACGTGTGTATCAGAAGCCACTCTGTTGGGCGACGGATGTGCCTGTGAAGAGAACTGACTGGGATGGGGGTGGAGCTGGTGACCCTGGAATTTGAACCCCGCTGGCCAGGCAGGTGGGTGCCACAGCCCTGAAGAATCTCTTCTCTGGGAAACCTCTGCCTTGATCTTGAGGTCCTTCAACTGATAGGACAAGGCCAACACACATCACGGGGGATAATCTCCTTAAAGTCAGCTGACTGTGGGTGCGGACACCTGCAAAATGCCTTCACAGCAACACCTCAGTCAGCGCGCGAGTCAGTGGCCAGACACCAGCTGACACACACGTGTCTGCAGAAACACCCGCAGGCTTCTGGCCAGTTTCTCATCAGCAGCTTGTCCTGACCTCATAGTTGTTGTGAGGCAGGCAATGTGAGCCCAGCCCGTCATAACTGGCGGTACCAGCTCAGACTGGACGTGGTCAGTTTATCATGTCCATCCATCCAAAAGCACTCTTCATGCGGAGGTGGGCATCTGGGGGTGCTGGCCCCGAGAGGCCAGGTCAAGTCTCCCCACCCAACTTTACCCAGCGGTGCTCATGCCCGGAAGCGCAGCCAAGAGCCGCTGCCCATGTCAGGCCAGCTCCTCCCAGAGGTCCCCAAGCACCACCTGCCTGGTACTAGCCACAGCAAGAGTCCTGATGTCAGGCTCCCGAGAAAGTCAGGTGGCATCTGTCCCCGCCTGTCTGCCAATGCAGGAGCACCCTCCACACGTGGAACAGTCCTCAGGACTATCTGGGGTTAGCGTGGCTGGCCCCAGCTGGGAGCGCGGCG